TTTGTGGGCACTATGGTATTGAACGCTGAGCTATAATCAATGAATAGCATTCTCACGTACAGTGAGGGGAAAAAAGTATTTGATCCTCTGCTGATTTTGTACGTTTGCCCACTGACAAAGAAATGATCAGTCTATAATTTTTATGGTAGGTTTATTTGAACAGTGAGAGACAGAATAACAACAAAAAAATCCAGAAAGACGCATGTAAAAAATGTTATAAATTGATTTGCATTTTAATGAGGGAAATAAGTATTTTACCCCCTCTCAATCAGAAAGATTTCTGTCTCCCAGGTGTCTTTTATACAGGTAACGAGCTGAGATTAGGAGCACACTCTTAAAGGGAGTGCTCCTAATCTCCGTTTGTTACCTGTATAAAAGACACCTGTCCACAGAAGCAATTAATCAATCAGATTCCAAACTCTCCACCATGGCCAAGACCAAAGAGCTCTCCAAGGATGTCAGGGATAAGATTGTAGACCTACACAAGGCTGGAATGGGCTACAAGACCATCGCCAAGCAGCTTGGTGAGAAGGTGACAACAGTTGGTGCGATTATTCGCAAATGGAAGAAACACAAAAGTCAATCTCCCTCGGCCTGGGGCTCCATGCAAGATCTCACCTTGTGGAGTTGCAATGATCATGAGAACGGTGAGGAATCAGCCCAGAACTACACGGGAGGATATTGTCAATGATCTCAAGGCAGCTGGGACCATAGTCACCAAGAAAACAATTGGTAACACACTACGCCGTGAAGGACTGAAATCCTGCAGCGCCCGCAAGGTCCCCCTGCTCAAGAAAGCACATATACAGGGCCGTCTGAAGTTTGCCAATGAACATCTGAATGATTCAGAGGAGAATTGGGTGAAAGTGTTGTAGTCAGATGAGACCAAAATCGAGCTCTTTGGCATCAGCTCAACTCGCCGTGTTTGGAGGAGGAGGAGGAATGCTGCCTATGACCCCAAGAACACCATCCCCACCGTCAAACATGGAGGTGGAAACATTATGCTTTGGGGGTGTTTTTCTGCTATGGGGACAGGACAACTTCACCGCATCAATGGGACGATGGACGGGGACATGTACCGTCAAATCTTGGGTGAGAACCTCCTTCCCTCAGCCAGGGCATTGAAAATGGGTCATGGATGGGTATTCCAGCATGACAATGACTCAAAACACACGGCCAAGGCAACAAAGGAGTGGCTCAAGAAGAAGCACATTAAGGTCCTGGAGTGGCCTAGCCAGTCTCCAGACCTTAATCCCATAGAAAATCTGTGGAGGGAGCTGAAGGTTCGAGTTGCCAAACGTCAGCCTCGAAACCTTAATGACTTGGAGAAGATCTGCAAAGAGGAGTGGAACAAAATCCCTCCTGAGATGTGTGCAAACCTGGTGGCCAACTACAAGAAACGTCTGACCTCTGTGATTGCCAACAAGGGTTTTGCCACCAAGTACTAAGTAATGTTTTGCAGAGGGGTCAAATACTTATTTCCCATGTGTTTTTGTGGATTGTTTTGTTGTTATTCTGTTTCTCACTGTTCAAATAAACCTACCATTAAAATGATAGACTGATCATGTCTTTGTCAGTGGGCAAACGTACAAAATCACCTGGGGATCAAATACATTTTTCCCTCACTGTAGGTGTTCATTTTGTCCAGGTGGGAAAGGGCAGTGTGGAGTGCAATAGAGATTGCATCATCAGTGGATCTGTTGGGGCGGTATGCAATTTGGAGTGGGTCTAGGGTTTCTGGGATAATGGTGTTGATGTGAGCCATGACCAGCCTTTCAGAGCACTTCATGGCTACAGACGTGAGTGCTACGGGTCTGTAGTCATTTAGGCAGATTACCTTAGTGTTCTTGGGCACAGGGACTATGGTGTTCTGCTTGAAACATGTTGGTATTACAGACTCAGTCAGGGACAGGTTGAAAATGTCAGTGAAGACACTTTCCAGTTGGTCAGCGCATACTCGGAGTACATGTCCTGGTAATCCGTCTGGCCCTGCGGCCTTGTGAATGTTGACCTGTTTAAAGATCTTACTCACATCAGCTACGGAGAGCGTGAACACACAGTAGTCCGGAACAGCTGATGCACTCATGCATGCTTCAGTGTTGCTTGCCTCGGAGCAAGCATAGAAGTGATTTAGCTTGTCTGGTAGGCTTGTGTCACTGGGCAGCTCGCGGATGTGCTTTCCTTTGTAGTCTAATAGTTTGCAAGCCCTACCACATCCGACGAGCGTCGGAGCCCGTGTAGTACGATTCAATCTTAGTCCTGTATTGATGCTTTGCCTGTTTGATGGTTCGTCGGAGGGCATAGCAGGATTTCTTATAAGCGTCCGGGTTAGAGTCCCGCTCCTTGAAAGCGGCAGCTCTACCCTGTCGTCACTGTGGGGACGACATCATTGATGCACTTATTGATGAAGCCAGCGACTAATGTGGTGTACTCCTCAATTCCAGTCTGTGCTAGCAAAACAGTCCTGTAGCTTAGCATCTGCGTCATCTGACCACTTATTTATTAACCGAGTCACTGGTGCTTCCTGCTTTAGTTTTTGCTTATAAGCAGGAATCAGGAGGATATAATTACGGTCAGATTTGCCAAATGGAGGGCGAGGGAGAGCTTTGTACGGGTCTCTGTGTGTGGAGTAAAGGTGGTCTAGAGTTTTTGTAGCTCTGGTTGCACATTTAACATGCTGGTAGAAATTAGGAAAAACTGATTTAAGTTTCCCTGCATTAAAGTTTCCGGCCACTAGGAGCGCTGCCTCTGGATGAGCGTTTTCCTGTTTGCTTTTGGCCTTTGCACTCAATGAGCTGTATATTTTAGTGCCAGCATCAGTTATAATCTACTGTATGGAGGAGGGATGTTAGTGTGTTTGTGTGACAGGAACCACATTTCCATCCAGTTTTTATGCGAGTAAAGTCATTCCATAGGCCTATATAAAAAAAATAACATGACTGCTGTGATGTAAACACAAAGTTTCGGTACAATTACATAAATGCCGACAGATTGTTCTTTTGACATGGTGGGATCTTTTTGTGTCAGTAAAATTGATTATGCGAGAAATGGTGGTGGAAACACCTTTATGTACAAATATTGATATAATAACCATCGTATGGAAGTAAACTTGGACTCGCGATGATTAGGTGTGTGGTCCTAACATTTATTTTTTTGTGCACAATGTCATCACGCACTGATTTTTATCCGCAACAAGTCCATTTGGTGGAAGCACCACTGGTGGGGAAAATTGGCATATTTTCTTTAAACAGATTTGAGAATATTCACAATCTGTCGCCAATTGTATAGAAACCTAGCTAATGTATGTTAGCAGATGTTTACGTTTCCATTGGAGGATTGGAGAGGAGAGTGAATGTTCAGACCTGGGCAATGTATTAGTAACATTATCCCCGCTGCTCATGTCTTGAAATGTACTGGTTTTAAATAAAATGTGATAAAGAGAGATCTTTGTGACTGATCTGTCTGAACTGGAGGGCTGCATTCTCGCGGGATGCCCACAGAGATCATTACGGCGCGGTAGGCATATTTCATGCTGCGATTGGGAGCGGGTGGTCAGACACTTTGTAATGAAAATATTGATGTTGTCCCGAAAATATTGACGGCCGTCAATATTTTCGAAACTTGAGTGTGCATAACTATTCACCCCCCCCAAAGTCAATACTTTGTAGAGCCACCTTTTGCAGCAATTACAGCTGCAAGTCTCTTGGGGTATGTCTCTATGAGCTTGGCACATCTAGCCACTGGGATTATTGCCCATTCTTCAAGGCAAAACTGCTCCAGCTCCTTCAAGTTGGATGGGTTCCGCTAGTGTACAGCAATCTTTAAGTCATACCACTGATTCTCAATTGGATTGAGGTCTGGGCTTTGACTAGGCCATTCCAAGACATTTAAATGTTTCCCCTTAAACCACTCAAGTGTTGCTTTAGCAGTATACTTAGGGTCATTGTCCTTCTGGAAGGTGAACCTCCGTCCCAGTCTCAAATTTCTGGAAGACTGAAACAGGTTTCCCTCAAGAATTTCCCTGTATTTAGCGCCATCCATCATTCCTTCAATTCTGACCAGTTTCCCAGTCCCTGCCGATGAAAAACATTCCCACAGCATGATGCTGCTACCACCATGCTTCACTGTGGGGATGGTGTTCTCGGGGATGGTGTTCTCGGGGTGATGAGAGGTGTTGGGTTTGCGCCAGACATAGCGTTTTCCTTGATGGCCAAAAAGCTCAATTTTAGTCTCATCTGACCAGAGTACCTTCTTCCATATGTTTGGGGAGTCTCCCACATGCCTTTTGGCGAACACCAAACGTGTTTGCTTATTTTTTTCTTTAAGCAATGTCTTTTTTCTGGCCACTCTTCCATAAAGCCCAGCTCTGTGGAGTGTACGCCTTAAAGTGGTCCTATGGACAGATACTCCAATCTCCGCTGTGGAGCTTTGCAGCTCCTTTAGGGTTATCTTTGGTCTCTTTGTTGCCTCTGATTAATGCCCTCCTTGCCTGGTCTGTGAGTTTTGGTGGGCAGCCCTCTCTTGGCAGGTTTGTTGTGGTGCCATATTATTTCCATTTTTTAATAATGGATTTAATGGTGCTCCGTGGGATGTTCAAAGTTTCAGATATTTTTTTATAACCCAACCCTGATCTGTGCTTCTCAACAACTTTGTCCCTGACCTGTTTGGAGAGCTCCTTGGTCTTCATGGTGCCGCTTGCTTGGTGGTGCCCCTTGCTTAGTGGTGTTGCAGACTCTGGGGCCTTTCAGAACAGGTGTATATATACTGAGATCATGTGACACTTAGATTGCACACAGGTGGACTTTATTTAACTAATGATGTGAATTCTGAAGGTAATTGGTTGCACCAGATCTTATTTGTGGGCTTCATAGCAAAGGGGGTGAATACATATGCACGTACCACTTTGATCTTCATGCGGGGCAGCATGCAGTATGGAGCAGTGCTTAATCATCAGAGCCTTCCAGGCCCCGCCACACTTCAGCCCCTTACCGACAACCAGGTCATACACCAGAACCTGTGTAATGGACAGGACCAAACAAGAGGTAAGTGACCAGCCATAGTGTTGGGGCAGTGTTCTTCAATCTTGGTCCATGGGGATCTGATCCACAGGGTGTGCAGCTTTTGTTCTATCCATGTTCTAACACGGCAGATTATTTTTTTTGTAATGCAACAAAATAGGAAAAATGCCAAGGGGGATGAATACTTTTGCAAGGCACTGTATCCTCAGTGGTGTTGGGCTCCAGAGCCTCCTCATCCCCATCTTTATTTTTCTTCTTCCTCTTTTTCTTTGCTCCTTCTGATTGATCTGTCTTTTCCTCAGTGGGGTTGGCTTCCTTAGCCACGTCCATATCCTCAGTGGTGCTACTAGGCTCCTGAACCTCCTCATCCCTATCTTCTGTGATATCAGCCTCTTCAGCCTCATGCTTGTCTTCACTGGCAGAAGGACTACTTGGACTCATCTCAGCAACCGGATTGCTACAATAGTGAAGACGAGCATTAACAATGTTGCATTTTTGTTGGTGGTTAAAACTTCACAGCAAACAGTATAATCTAGACGTTTTCTCTATAAATATCCTCTATTTCAATTAATGAGAGTTTCATTGAATGTGATGTAATTCAAATGTATGACTGCTACTCACAGTGTTTGAGAGGCCTGCTGTTCTAGACTCTGTGCCGTGTGTCGTTCCAGCAGGGCCACAAATAAGCTGTGGGTGAGGGTTTTGGTGGTGCTGGCTTGGAGACACTGTGTGAGGGCAGCTGGAGCAGAGGAACCAGCCTGCATAAACAAAGGGTGGAAACAGAGCTGGTGTCTCAGATCAAAAGGTTTCCACCAGTTTCCACAAGATAATGCTTTACTGCTCTTAAAATCCCAGAAACACAGATAGGTAAAATACTTAGTCAGTTCCATCATAATCTCTATTCAATTTGGGAATTGATCATTATATTAATTTCTGTTCCCTACCTGAAGCCTGGGTTCTGCTGCAGGCAGGCGGCCACCACTTGCTCGTTCTCCTCGGTGTGGATGGAGCCGGTGGAGTCGCTGCAGACGAAGGAAGCGCCTGGCGTGGTTGATACAGTGCAGCTGGAACGCTGACAGGGCCTTCAGACGGTGACTGTCCTGCTCCTTCTGGGAGGCCGGTGTCTCATCCCGCAGGCACACCATCCCTGAGAGAGAAACACACAAATATACTATTTTGGCTCAATAATGACATTGAGAGTACAAAGAAGTTACATGTTTTAGAGGTCATACAGATACTTTGACTTGTGAGTACTTCTGGGTCATTGAGGTGCATCTTTCTGGAGACATAAACAAGCCCTAAACATCTGTATTTTGTTTTAACAACATCAGCGGGGTATACTACAAAGCAGGATCAATGAGTTAGCCAGCTAACTTGCCTTAATATTCTGAAATAACAATTTTTTTTAGAAGGATAAGCTTGAAATGGGCATGGTCTAACTGATACAACAACTAAAAACATATGCCTAAGTTATGCTTTATTAATAAACCAGAAAATGTATGGTTATTTCTGGTTGTTTATCAAAGTTAGCTGGCTAACTAATTGAACCTGCTTTGTAGTATACCCCTCAGACAGACAGGTCATGTTGTTACCTGATCCGCTGCACAACGGGTCAAGTAGGATGTACGCCACACTTATACAGCGGCCCATCCGGGTCCACCTTTAGGAAGTCCTGATTGGCCAGCTGCTGACATGTGACTCCGGTGCGGAGCAGGCCAGTGGACATTGAGGAGAGATGCTTGGCGTCCAGGTCGAAGGCAAACAGTCTCCTTCAACACAGGCCAGAGAGGAGGTTTTGGTCAAATGTGTGAGGTGAGGCAAGTAACCCTTACAATGTGCTTTGAAATCTGATCAAAAGAGCTATCATTTTGTAACCTTAACTTTTTTCAGGATTAACATCACAATATTTTTTTATGTCCTAGTCCTACCAAACATAATAGCTTCCCAGACCCAGAATAAGTATATTGCTGGACTATTGAACATTTAGTCCAGGAGTATGCTTAATCTGGGTCTGGGAAATTGACCCTCCATATTTCAATCAAGCTTTACCCTTTGTTATTCATGATGGCAGCGAGGTGGCTGGTGTTGTTCCCCGGCGCTGAACAGGTGCCAGGACGTGGCTGCCTATAAGAGGGTTCAGGAAGTACGCAGGGAGACAGCTGGCCTGTTGGGATATAAGGGAGACAATAGTAGACAGGCAAGTCCATGGGCCCTGTTAGAATACCTTAGAAATGCATCTTAGCTTCTTTCTTTTATCAGAATAGATCTAACAAGGTAACCTCATCCAATCATGTACAGATCAGTGATGACCTCAAGGAAGGAAGGAAAGAAGGATGGAAGGACGCATTTAGAATCCTCACCTTGTCTTGTAGAATGATGTGGCCAGCCTTGTACAGATTGTGGTCATGGAAGTTTGTCTTTGCAGAGAAAACCAGTAGGTCTAAAAGTTGCAGGTCACCCACAAAGGATTTCCTCTTCAGATTCAGGTAATTGAGCCTGGACATCAGAAACACACATTCTGTTTTCAATTTGCCTCATGTCAAGCTCAATCACTAGAATGAATCCATGCTCAGTCAATATAATTAACAGGGAAGGAAGAAACATCCAAGGCTTGTCACTGACTGACTTGTAGGCCTGTCCTAGGTAGGCGAAAGCCCTCTCTCTTTAAGTAATCGATGGCGTCCTCCACCGTGGTCTTTAATGTGTTCACACTCACATACCTCAGGAGCTGATTGCCTGAGGAAGGAAAAGTATTGTTATTTAGCTAAACAAAGGCAAGTAACATTTAACATATTTCCAGTGAAGTATGCCAGACAGTGGGAATAATGCAAAAAGATGACCAGCTGTACAGACTTCAGAAGCAGCCAAATGTAGAGTTTGAGTCAACTTAGCTAAGCCACTAACATTAGTGCATGTACATTTTGTATCTAAGACTACTATGCCACTCTACCTCTTGCAGCTCAAATGTCTTATTTTCAAAAATGTCTAACAGGAGTAATAAGGATCAATCAATCCAACCTTCAGGCTGCTGGAGACTGGAGGAGAGTAGGTCCTGGTTGCAGCTGACCTTCTGCTTGATCTTCATGCGGGGCAGCATGCAGTATGGAGCAGTGCTTAATCATCAGAGCCTTCCAGGCCCCGCCACACTTCAGCCCCTTACCGACAACCAAGTCATACACCAGAACCTGTGTAATGGACAGGACCAAACAAGAGGTAAGTGACCAGCCATAGTGTTGGGGCAGTGTTCTTCAATCTTGGTCCACGGGGATCTGATCCACAGGGTGTGCAGCTTTTGTTCTATCCATGTTCTAACACGCCTGATTCAATTACAGAAGCTAATCAGGTGTGTTTGTCTGGGCCAAAACAAATGCCTGCATATTATGACCTGTGGGTTCCAAGGACCAGGCTTGAAGATATATGTTGGAGGGACTGAATGGACTTAGTCTGTGCTTGTTCAAAAAGGCATGATGGGGGAGAGAACTGTCCAATGTGTTTTCACATTACCTTGGCAAGATTAATTTTTATTTTAGTTTGTTTGAGGAGCTTAGTGGACTCAATGATCTCTTGGAGGATAGATGAAAACTTCTGTGTCTCACACCAGGGCAAATATATGCTTGATATTCTGGTGAGGTGAGAGCATTATAGTTAACAATATTAACACACACAGTACTGCTGGAAAGTTTATCTTTGGAGAAAATATATTCTGCTTCTAGGCATGAACAGCAAGGTGTTGCCTGTGTTATTTGATGTTTACTGGTTAGCTACGTGGTAAATGTTTACAGAGCAAGGCGTTAGCTACTGTACTCAGTACACTGGAGCAAATTACCTGAAATGTACTGTCGTAAACCAAAGTCTATACAGCAGCCTGCTTCCTCTTTCTCGAGAATCTAGCAGCTTTCATGTACAAAACTAGTTTAGAATACTTTTTTTTACAGAGAATGTGTTATCATTATGTACAACAACATTAATATATCTCCACGACACCCACGTTTCTGCAAGTGGGCAATATACTTTACGGCCTGATGAAAAATGTAGGTATCGATTTACGTTAGAAATCAAAGTGCCTAAGACCGTGCGATAGAGTTTCATACTGGACTGTCTTTGACCGTGCTCTGCTACTGACTTCAGAAACGAAATGAAGACGAATTTGTATGCATTTGTAAAGCAAGTTAGAGTCGCTTTTGGATATCATACAGTTAATAACTACAACATTATTTATATTTAAATACAACGATATTGCTAGCTGAGCAAAGCTGCAGGCACAGCAAGTAGCTAACGTTACCCATGCTAGCCTCTCACAGTTTCCTAGCTACAATTCTAGCCAGTGCTAACGTGGCACAAACTGGGTGAAGATGGAGTTTGCTGCTCTTATTGCCTTGACCGTATTAATAGGAATGCTGATAATTTTGGTCGCCATCGCAGTGGGAAAGCAGAAAGGAGAAATAAGTGAACAACTAGAGCAGAAAGAAGAGGATTCAGTTGGTAAGTTGCTCTCCTTGCATGTCTTGTTGCGATGGATTGCAATTGTACTAACGTTAGCAAGCGTCAAACAGGTGCAAGTTACACAATGTAATATAAGCCAGTGGCCCTTGATGATAGTTACAATAGATCTATTCATTTAAAAGTATTGGCACCAGGTCAAAATTATCTACAGCCATAAACTTGTTGCTGGAAGAAAAGTTATGGAAGAAAGTTTGAATTAAATGGTGACCAAAACCATATAATTAGAATACTAGAAGGGACATTAATTTTCATATGATGGGATGAAGGTCAGCCCATAGAGATCCTATTAAATTAATTAGTATTCTAATTCATACTTCTGTGGGTCAGGGAGTTGGTCAACCATGGTTCGCAAGTTCTGTGATAGTGTAAAATAATGCTTTTGAAGACTGTATCTGCACTGTTTGTTAGCTAACTAGGCTGCTAGTTTTAGAGGAATGATATCATAAATTTTTCAAATTAACTGCCAATATGCCAACATTCCTTTCAAACAATGCAGTCAATCCTCCACCATAGACTGGCTGAAATCAGTTGATGATAGGACTTAGACATGTTGTAAATGCAACAAGGACCAATATTGTATCATATCACTCACAGCTTTCCAAGGAAACAAAAATGTAGACATTTATGGTCTGTTTACATATATTTTAGAGGCTATTTGTACAGAACATTTGTATAAAATCCTTATAAACTGTATTTATAATTATTTGAAAATATTTTAGGTTGACAATTCTATTACACAATTTCTGATAACAAATGTATTTTATTTTCCTGCATAAGTAAAATCAGGAGTATGCCTCTACTGCCATTAATTCCAATTAGACTGGATTTCTCTTAGACCAATATGGCTGCCATTTTCACCCCATTTCAGAAATTTGAAGGTTTATGACATGTCTAGTAATTTAATAGGATCTCTGACCAAAACATTGTTTTGTTACAGAATTGTAAATGTTTTGAGGCAACATCTTACCGTTTCCAGAGGTGAAAGCAACCAGAATTTTGAACATTTTGATAATGGAAGTTACTAGAAAGTGTCTGCTTGAACGTCTTGTGTAACGTGATGCCAATTCATCCCCTGCAGTAGAGGAAAGTGCAGTGAAGGCTTCCACTGCCAAGAAACAGAAACAACAGCGTCCTCGCAAGGAGAAAGCCCAACAGCAAACCTTCAGCCACCCTCTCCTGGCATCCTCCTTGAAGGTGGGCCATGCTTCACATACTGTGAACCCCATATTACGCCATATCAAAGATGATCTATTATATTGACAAGATAGTCAAGTGACCGCTCTAACAATGGAAATGCATGTCCTCAAAGATGGAAGGGAGGCGAGATCAGTGGGACCATTCTAGCTAATGAGGGCAGATACGCATGTGAACAACAGTTTTTTCACCCAAAGTTGCCGGAATGCCACATGTATCCACTTATATCAGTGCATTTGTAACAGCCTAAACATTACAAAACGGATATTCGGTCAAATAAGCCTCACGTAATTCAACACTCATAGTCCTCCATACAAAAAATCCCCACTTGGTCTGCTTATCTCATGCGGAGTAAATCCTCTCGCTTCACCTTTTCCTCTCTGGACATATTTAGGCATACTCTGCCATTTACTAGAGTGAATGATGTCATAGCTAAGGGTAGCTAAGAAGTCTTATCTACATTATAAAAACCAGCCCATAAGCCAGTTGTGTAATGCATGATAAGCTGCACCAACAAGGCACATGATGTAATGACAGTGGTGTGTGACGAGGTTACAGAATCATCTGATGCTTGATCATCGCTTGTGTAAAAACTGGTCAGAGTTTAGTTTGCTGGTTTGAGTTGGGGCTATCGTGGCGGTGTCTATTAAAGCACAGAGATGGAGGTTGCAGTTTAAAGGGCTGATGCCCGTTCATTCACAATGGTTGGAGATGGTCAAAGGATGGTTAACTGAAAAAACAAGCAAAGGAAATAATAACAGTAAATGTTCTCCAATCAGGTGATAATATAAATCAAGAAATGAGAACAAACTTATCATAAATGCATCCAAAAACACAAAGGAAAGGTCTTGCAGAAAACACTTTTGCGAACTGTAAAGTTTGGTCTGCCACATTGATTAGTGACAGGTGTGAGCGTTTAACCTGGTGGATTGGCTGAAGTTCCGCCTCTGCTGGAGGGGGATTGGACAGGTGAATGGTGGTTGTGGTTGGATGAGAAGACTGGCAGTCAGTGTAGGGGCAATTCGACAACAGCTTGGCTCACTCGTCTCTGTCTTTCTCCCCAGAGTCACAGTGGCAATGTGACGTCCCTGGACTTCAGCAGCAACGGGAAGTACCTAGCCACTTGTGCTGACGACCGCACTGTCAGGATATGGAGCACCAAGGACTTCCTGGACAGAGACCATAAATGTCTGAGGGCCAACGTAGAGCTGGACCACGCCACACTGGTCCGCTTCAGCCCGGACTCAAAGTACACACACACACACTCCTGTCCAGAACAAAGGGTATAGATACAGTGCATTTGGAAAGTATTCAGACCCCTTGACTTTTTCCACATTTTGTTACATTACAGCCTTATTCTAAAAGGGATTAAATGGTTTTTTCCCCCTCATCAATCTACACACAATACCCCATAATGACAAAGCAAAAACTGGTTTTTTGAAATGTTTGCAAATTTATTACAAATAAAAAACGGATACCTTATTTACATAAGTATTCAGACTCTTTGCTATGAGACTCGAAATTGAGCTCAGGTGCAACGTAACAAAATGTGGAAAAAGTCAAGGGGTCTCAATACTTTCCGCTTGTCTTTCTATACTTATTTTCACTCTGTCTTGGTATGCAGGGCGTTCATTACTTGGCTGGCTAACGGAGATACTATTCGCATCTTCAAGATGACCAAGAAGGATGATGGTAGCTTCACTTTCAAAGCTGCCCCTGAAGACTTCCCTCAGAAACACAAGACCAATGTCATCAACATCGGCATCGCAGAGACGGGTATGACCGCTGAATGTATTCAGACTGAATGACTAAAAGGCAGGAAGATGTGAATGCGTGATATGCTAATTTTTATGATTAATGACTGTTAGAAGTTATGAAAGAGACCCTTGTTCCAGTTGTCTAAAATCTCATCTGTCTCCCTTTTGTTTTCTGTGTTCCAGGCAAGTTCATCATGAGTGCCTCCACCGACACCAACATCCTCATCTGGGACCTGAAAGGAGAGGTACTGGCCTCTATCATCACCAACCAGATGACCAACTCCTACGCTGCCATCTCACCATGTGGCAGGTCAGTACCCTAAATGTGTCTGTGTGGGTTTTATAGCTAATATAATAGTACTCTCAGGTAGATCATTTCTGGATGGTTCTCTGTCCTCAGGTTTGTGGCCTCCTGTGGCTTCACTCCTGACGTGAAGGTGTGGGAGGTGTGCTTCGGGAAGGGTGGCGAGTTCAAAGAGGTGGCCCGCGCCTTCGACCTAAAGGGCCATTCAGCTGGAGTCCACTCCTTTGCGTTCTCTAATGACTCAAGCAGGTAAGGCATGCATTGTGTGGTATCCTATCAAAACACTGATGGTTGATTTCCATGGATGACATTATGATAACATTCATAAGGTAGATTTCCCAATTGAGGTATGTGAAACAGTCTTTCGTTTCCCCCCAGAATGGCCACCGTCTCCAAGGACGGCACGTGGCGGCTGTGGGACACGGACGTGGAGTACAAGAAGCAACAGGACCCCTACCTACTGAAGTCAGTGCCTTGCCAGTCGTCGGAGGGCAGCCGTGTGGCCCTGTCGCCGGACGCTCGCGTGGTGGCCATCTCCAACAGCTGCAGCGTGGCCATGTACAGCACCTCCACAGGTCAACTGGAGGAGGAGTTCCACGGAGTCCACAGCGAGGAGATCACTGACCTGAGGTTTGACATCAACAGCCGCTACCTGGTGTGCAGCGGGGACCGGGCAGTACGTGTGTTCCACAATGCGCCGGGCTACCGTGCGGCAATCCAGGACATGCAGGCCATGCTGAAGAAGGCCCAGAACGAGGGCATGAAACAAAGGCTGCAACAGCAGATACAGGAGGCACAGAGCGCGCTGGACACTGTGCTCACAGCACCCAAGGATTAAAGAACTAAAGACCCCCCCCCAGGCTGGCTGTGTAGACCCCTCTTTCTATCTCTCTCTCTCCCTCCCCTTCTCTCACACACTGCCTCCACAGAATGGCATGCAATTCAACTCCTGTCAGGGATGTGGCATTTGCATGCTGATTTTAATAAATAAATCATGATATGTTTCTATAGAAATATGGCTTTGTTTTGTGAATGCTCTGCCTGCCTCAAAGTCAGGAATACTATGTTCTCTCTCTTCTTGGACCAGTAATCCTACTACTATAGAAGAGCTTGCTTTGAGAGCTTGCTTTGGCTGTGGGGGTCGTTGTACCTTAAACTTTTGTATAATAGGACCAGAATTCAGCTGGGGTGTTCCTCTGTAGAAACATAAGACATACTAAACTAACAATATTTTCCATGACATACTATCCAAGTGAAAGTTATGATCCCAATGACATCACCTGTTAAATCCACTTCAATTAGTGTAGATGAAGGGGAGGACAGGTTAAAGAAGGATTTTTAAGCCTTGAGACATGGATTGTGTATGTGTGTCATTCAGAGGGTGAATGGGCAAGACAAAAGATGGAAGTGCCTTTGAACGGGGTATGGTAGGTGTCAGGTGCACCAGTTTGAGTGTCAAGAACTGCAAAGCTGCTGGATTTTTCACGCTCAACAGTTTCCCATGTGTATCAAGAATGGTCCACCACCCAAAGGACATCCAGCCAGCTTGACAACTGGGAAGCATCCCTATGGAACGCTTTCGACACCTTGGGAGTCCATGCCCCGACGAATTGAGGTTCTGAAGGCAAAAGGGGTGCAACTCAATATTAGGAAAGTGTTCCTAATGTTTTGTACCCTCGGTGTCTAGACTTGATAGTTCATGCAGCTTTTGTATTCTGATTGACTAGTGAACACATTATGCGTCTACACCGACATTTAAATGTCGACTGCGTCGGGATTCCCTTTTCCCGCGCTATATTCAAATGCCAGTATGCATTCTGTAAACGGTGGAAGCGCCTCAATCTGATAACACAACAACTTGATGGCAGTAACCAACCACTGGTGGTCAGGGCTGCATTGTGTGGTCAGGGTTTCTCTTCAGTCTGGACGCAACCAGGCTACCTACAGCGCATACAGTGGGCGACGTCGTCAGCAATTCGACCACAACTCTCCATAAAACGTATGTTTTGGGAGCGAGAGGCTAGGAAATACGTTCCTAGCCTGTGATATTGTTGTTTGGCTAGAGTTATGCTAACCTGTTTGCAATCCCTTTTGCTTTGCTAGCTAGCTTGCTGGCTAGTTAGCTACAGTAGTTGGCTACTGCCATCAAGTTGTTGCTATCAGATTTAGCCTGTTTTACAATTTGCAGAATGCGTACCGGCATTTCAATATAGCGCGGGAAAAGGGAACCTGGACACGGTAGATACATTTAAATGTAGGTGTAGTAGACGCATGACGTGTTCGGAATTCCATGATCAGAACTCCATGATAAGAATAAGAAAGCTGCATGAACTGTCAAGTCTAGACACACCTTAGTGATGCCAGTGTAACTGCAATGTAGCAAGTGACCCCAGATGATAAACATGCACATTTAGTGAGGGCGTTCTGTGAGAACAAGCGAATGGGTCCCGAAAGCTCGCGAGATTCGGTGGGCAGGACGGAGAGCTAGCGAAAGCTGAACAGTCTGTCGGAGGCAAGTAAAACTAAAACCAAGCACAAAGATGTCTGGACGCTCGGTTCGCGCTGAGACACGAAGCCGCGCTAAAGATGACATGAAGAAGGTGATGGCGGCCATTGAAAGGGTCAGAAGATGGTAAGTACAACACTGTTTATTTGTGTGAAAGATCATAAAAGATTGCGGATACAGAAAGTTCAGCGACACGGAGGCGTGGTTTGAGACAGAATGACAGCGAAAGACCGAGAGCACAGCCAATGAGAAGCACTGTGAAGCTTTCTCCCTCGAGACAAGTGGCTTTTCAACAAGAGGCGACCCAAAAGTAGACTTGCGCAAAGCTCGTGGAAAGCTCGTTAGCTAGCTTGCTAATACGCTTATAATTGGTGAATGGACAGACAGGCTAGCAAGCGAACTATGCAGTGTCATGTAGTAATCAATAAGATACTAGCCAACCATAGCCAGTGAGGTGTATCCTCGCTTATTTGTAGCAGCTTCCACTAATATCATCGCACTCATTGGTATAATTCCACTCTATGGAAAGGATATGTAAACGGTTAATGCTATCCGGGATCCTTGGGACCGTCCATACCCTAACCTTTACCATTTTACATTTCAACTTCAATGGGTGCACTTGACCCTTGAACTATCTGACTGTAAAGGAGAGCACTCATTGTTTTCTACAGGGAGAAGAAATGGGTAACTGTCGGAGACACATCTTTGAGGATATTCAAATGGGTGCCAGTGGTGGATACAAAAGAAGTAAGTTATTTTCTTATTTAATAACCTAAATAGCAATGTCAGTTTGTAATGCTTTGTCTTCTTGTAGGAGAAGAGTAAGGCGGTCCCGGTTGGAGCAGTCAGGGAGCTGAATAGCTTCTCCACAGATCCAGCCTCAGAAAACACACATTCAAGTCTTCTCGATTTTCATGGTGAGAATGGAGAACCGTTTTCAGTGACATACAGTGCATTCGGAAAGTATTCCATCCCCTTCACTTTTTCCACATTTTGTTATGTTACAGCTTTATTCTAAAATGAATAAAATTATTTCCCCACCCATCAATCTACACACAATACCCACAATGACAAAGTCGAAAACAGGTTTTTAGAAATGTTAGCAAATTTCTTAAAATAAAAACAGATACCTTATTTACATAAATATTCAGACCCTTTGCTATGAGACTCGAAATTGAGCTCAGGTGCGTCCTGTTTCCATTGATCGTCCTTGATGTTTCTACAACTTCATTGGAGTCCACCTGTGGTAAATTCAATTGATTGGACATGATTTGGAAAGGCACACACCAGTCTATATAAGGTCCCACAGTTGACAGTCCATGTCAGAGTAAAAACCAAGCCATGAGGTTGAAGGACAAAAAATGTCTGCAGCATTGAAGGGCCCCAAGAACACAGTGGCCTCCATCATTCTTAAATGGAAGAAGTTTGGAACCACCAAGACTCTTCCTAGAGCTGGCTGCCCAGCCAAACTGAGCAATCGGGGGAGAAGGGCCTTGGTCAGGGAGGTGAACCAAGAACCCGATGGTCACTGACAGAGCTCCAGAGTTCCTCTGTGGAGATGGGAAAACCTTCCAAAAGGACAACCATCTCTGCAGCACTTCACCAATCAGGCCTTTATGGTAGAGTGGCCAGATGGAAGCCACTCCTCAGTAAAAGGCACATGACCGCCCACTTGGAGTTTGCCAAAAGGCACCTAAAGGACTCTCAGACCATGAGAAACAAGATTCTCTGGTCTGATGAAACCAAGATTGAACTCTTTGGCCTGAATGCCAAGTGTCACGTCTGTAGGAAACCTGGCACCATCCCTACAGTGAAGCATGGTGGTGGCAGCATCATGCTGTGGGGATGTTTTTCAGTGGCAGGGACTTAGAGACTAGTCAGGATCGAGCGAAAGGTGAACAGAGCGATCCTTGATGATAACCTGCTCCAGAGCACTCAGGACCTCAGACTGGGGGGAAGGTTCACCTTCCAACAGGACAACGACCCTAAGCACACAGCCAAGACAACGCAGGAGTGGCTTCGGGACAAGTCTCTGAATGTCCTTGAGTGGCCCAGCCAGAGCCCGGACTTGAACCTGATCAAACATCTCTGGAGAGACCTGAAAATACCTGTGCAGCGACACTCCCATCCAACCTGACAGAGCTTGAGAGGATCTGCAGAGAGGAATGGGAGAAACTCGCCTAATACAGGTGTGCCAAGCTTGTAGCGTCATACCCAAGAAGACTCATGGCTGTAATCGCTGCCGAAGGAGTAAAGGGTCTGAATACTTATGTAAATGTGATATGAGTTTTTAATAAATGTGCAAACATTTCTAATCACCTGTTTTTGCTTTGTCATTATGGGGTATTGTGTGTAGCTTGATGAGGGGAAAAAAACTAATTTTAATCAATTTTAGAATAAGGCTGTAATGTAACAAAATATGGAAAAAGTAAAGGGGTCTGAATACTTTCCAAATGCACTGTATGACCTCACCATATGCTGTTCTAGAGCTCTCTCCATTTCCTCCTATTCCTGTACTCTCTTCCTCCCCAGATGAGAACAGTAACCAGAGCTCCCTGTCTGATGCGTACCAGCCCAAAGTGGACAGCAGCAGTAACTCCAGCCCCCAGCCGAGTGAACCTCTGAGCCCCAAGAACCTGTGTGACTTCCGCACAGATGACTCACAGCCCCCGACTCTGGGCCAGGAGATCATGGAGGGTGAGACAGACAGACAGAAGGACAGACAGATGTACACACACTTACCTCTACATGGAAACGTTAACTGAAGATCTTTTTCAATTATTTTGATGTCAACTAATAAGGTCACATGTATCTTCTGATTCTTAGAGGTGTTAAGTAAATGTCTATTTATTAGACTTTTTTTTGTTTTCAGAGCCGTCATTGCCAAGTGAACTGGCTGACGAACCTCCATTACTGATTAAAGAGGACCTGTTGCCACTCACTACTCAGGTAAAACGCATCGAACATCTCAAGGATCATTCCACTTCGACACCACAGCTTTGTTACTCAACCTATTTATACTGAACAAAATTATAAGTTCAACATGCAACAATTACAAAGATTTTCAGAAAATCAGTCAATTGAAATTAATTCACTCGGCCCTAATCTATGAATTTCACATGACTAGGAATACAGATATCTGTTGGTCACAGATACCTTAAAAAAAAAAAGAGGGGGGCATTGATCAGAAAACCAGTGAGTATCTGGGGTGACCACCATTTGCCTCATGCAGCACAACACATCTCCTTCGTGTTGAGTTGATCAGGTTGCTGATTGTGACCTGTGGAATGCTGTCCCACTCCTCTTCAATGGCTGTGTGAAGTTGCTAGATATTGGTGGGAAATGGAACACGTCGATCCAGAGCATCCCAAACATGCTCAATGGGTGACATGTCTGGTGAGTATACAGGCCATCGAAGAACTGGGACATTTTCAGCTTCCAGGAATTGTGTACAGATCCTTACGACATGGGGCCGTGCGTTATCATGCTGAAACTTGAGGTGATGGCTGCGGATGAATGGCACGACAATGGGCCTCAGGATCGCGTCACAATATCTCTGTGCATTCAAATTGCCATTGATAAAATGCAATTGTGTTTGTTGTCCGTAGCTTATGCCTGCTCATACCATAACCCCACCACCACCATGCAGCACTCTGTTCACAACATTGACATCAGCAAACCGCTCGCTCACACGACGCCATACACGCTGTCTGCCAAGAAGAGCACACTTCTCCACCGTGCCAGTGGCCATCAAAGGTGAGCATTTGCTCACTGAAGTCGGTTACGACTCCGAACTGCAGTCAGGTCAAGACCCTGGTGAGGATGATGAGCACGCAGATGCTCTTCCCTGAGACGGTTTCTGACAGTTTGTGCAGAAATTCTTTGGTTGTGCAAACACAGTTTCATCAGCTGTCCGGGTGGCTGGTCTCAGACCATCACACAGGTGAAGAAGACTGATGTGGAGGTCCTGGGCTGGCGTGGTTACATTTGGTCTGCGGTTGTGAGGCCAGTTGGACGTACTGCCAAATTCTCTAAAATGACGTTGGAGGCGGCTTATGGTAGAGAAATGAACATGAAATTATCTGGCAACAGCTCTGGTGGACATTCCTGCAGGCAGCATGCCAATTGCACAATCTATCAGAACTTGAGACATCTGTGGCATTGTGTTGTGACAAAACTGCACATTTTAGAGGGGCCTTTTAAAGTGCACCTGTGTAATGATCATGCTGTTTAATTAGCTTCTTGATATGCCACACTTGTCAGGTGGATGGATTATCTCGGCAAAGGAGAAATGCTCACTAACAGGGATGTAAACAAATTTGTGCACAATATTTGAGAAGAACAAGCTTTTTGTGCTTTTTTTTCAGCTCATGGGACTAACATTTACATGTTGCATTTTTATATTTTTGTTCAATATACTTTCAAGACAACACATCAGACTCAGTTTGTCCAACAATCTACTCAGAACATTATACATTAAACTGATAAAACATGGATTCAAACAAACCTAGCTGTATTTCCCCACACAGGAGGAAGAGGAGTGTTCTGGAGCTCCGCCACTGAAGAGGGTGTGTTCTGAGCAGAACTCCATCCTGCAGAGCTCCTCCATGATGAGCTAACACTTAGCATCAGGGTCAGACCCATTTCACTTCAGGCACTTTGTTGAATCTTGTTTTTTGATTTGGAAAAATTGTCTTATCATTTTCAATGAAGGACATTTCTGGTTCACAAATTGAACAAAACATAAAAAAAAAAAATGGAACTCAACTAATTTGCTGATTTAAAAATAAAATGATTTGAGCCCTGCTTAGCTTTTAGTCAGCGAGTTGCACGACCGCAAGTCTATCCTCCGATGACTGCAATAGACACATTTTAAGGGCCAGACATACAGTGGGGAAAAAAAGTATTTAGTCAGCCACCAATTGTGCATGTTCTCCCACTTTAAAAAGATGAGAGAGGCCTGTAATTTTCATCATAGGTACACGTCAACTATGACTGACAAAATGAGAAAACAAATCCAGAAAATCACATTGTAGGATTTTTAATGAATTTATTTGCAAATTATGGTGGAAAATAAGTATTTGGTCAATAACAAAAGTTTCTCAATACTTTGTTATATACCCTTTGTTGGCAATGACACAGGTCAAACGTTTTCTGTAAGTCTTCACAAGGTTTTAACACACTGTTGCTGGTATTTTGGCCCATTCCTCCATGCAGATCTCCTCTAGAGCAGTGATGTTTTGGGGCTGTTGCTGGGCAACACGGACTTTCAACTCCCTCCAAAGATTTTCTATGGGGTTGAGATCTGGAGACTGGCTAGGCCACTCCAGGACCTTGAAATGCTTCTTACGAAGCCACTCCTTCGTTTCATCTTCAATGCCCTTGCTGATGGAAGGAGGTTTTCACTCAAAATCTCACGATACATGGCCCCATTCATTCTTTCCTTTACACAGATCAGTCGTCCTGGTTCCTTTGCAGAAAAACAGCCCCAAAGCATGATGTTTCCACCCCCATGCTTCACAGTAGGTATGGTGTTCTTTGGATGCAACTGAGCATTCTTTGTCCTCCAAACACGACAAGTTGAGTTTTTACCAAAACGTTCTATTTTGGTTTCATCTGACCATATGACATTCTCCCAATCCTCTTCTGGATCATCCAAATGCACTCTAGCAAACTTCAGACGGGCCTGGACATGTACTGGCTTAAGCAGGGGGACATGTCTGGCACTGCAGGATTTGAGTCCCTGGCGGCATAGTGTATTACTGATGGTAGGCTTTGTTACTTTGGTCCCAGCTCTCTGCAGGTCATTCACTAGGTCCCCCCGTGTGGTTCTGGGATTTTTGCTCACCGTTCTTGTGATCATTTTGACCCCACTGGGTGAGATCTTGCGTGGAGCCCCAGATCGAGGGAGATTATCAGTGGTCTTGTATGTCTTCCATTTCCTAATAATTGCTCCCACAGTTGATTTCTTCAAACCAAGCTGCTTACCTATTGCAGATTCAGTCTTCCCAGCCTGGTGCAGGTCTACAATTTTGTTTCTGGTGTCCTTTGACAGCTCTTTGGTCTTGGCCATAGTGGAGTTTGGAGTGTGACTGTTTGAGGTTGTGGACAGGTGTCTTTTATACTGATAACAAGTTCAAACAGGTGCCATTAATACAGGTAACGAGTGGAGGACAGAGGAGCCTCTTAAAGAAGAAGTTACAGGTCTGTGAGAGCCAGAAATCTTGCTTGTTTGTAGGTGACCAAATACTTATTTTCCACCATAATTTGCAAATAAATTCATTAAAAATCCTACAATGTGATTTTCTGGATTATTTTTCCTCAATTTGTCTGTCATAGTTGACGTGTACCTATGATGAAAATTACAGGCCTCTCTCATCTTTTTAAGTGGGAGAACTTGCACAATTGGTGGCTGACTAAATACTTTTTTCCCCCACTGTATGTAAGGACCACCATACTTGTTATGGTTTTATATTGAATCTCTTTCAAAGTGATTTAGTTTCTCCCTCAAAGGACCCATGAATATGTAGTTTATTTTACACTATTTAGTTTCAATGGATTAACAGCCAAATACAAAACCAAAGCACTCTACCAGCACTCTCGAGGTAGTGCAGTCTGGTAGGTTACATGTCTGTCCTTTTAATTTTATTTGGGAAATACCGTTTACTGTCTCCAAAATGTAAACTATTTATTGCAAAGCAATGACAGGCAATTTATGAAGTAATAGTTGAATTAAGCTATGGTCAGTGTTGTAGGTTTCAAGTCTGATTGGCTCTATTTTGAATGCAGCTTCATATTGTGCCATTGCCACTTGTTTACTCAATGCTAGCTGTCAGGATCTTTGTCAGTTTTGCCGATTTCTAAATCAAGTGTTATATCCGTCCATCCAGGACACACTGGTGTGCAAATCAAACGCACTAAGTTTAACATTGTAGAATGTTTCAAAATTACAAGTACTGTATCTGATGTTTTTGAAGTTACTTAAATTATGATACTAGGTCCTTATGTTTTATTTATCTCTTAAAGATGTTGTCTCAGTTATTTAAGTAAGAGTCATTTGTAAAATGAACACAGATTGTTTGTCTAAAATCTGGCTTGAGTTATCGTCCTTAGTAACCCAAAGAAGCACTTGTCTTTCTCAGAGAGATGTTTTGTCATATTTTACTTGAGTGAAATTAGGAAATTTATTTTATCAGGTACACTGACCATTTGATGTTATTTTGGAGTAATTGTAATACTTAATAGTAACCATTTTATTTATATATATATATATATATATATATATGAATAGACTTTTTTTTCTTCTTTTTTTTCTGACAATCGACAGCAATTACACACAGGTTTGGCAAATAGATCATTGTGTAGTGGTTCGCCATTTATGAAAGAAATGCTGTAATATTTGGGACTGGGAGACAAAAGTTAACTCCCGCAATATCGCTAGTTATTACCAACTTATAGCAGTTTTAATTTTCAGTCTTATTAATTCATAGTACTGTTAGTCTCTTGATAAGACATAATTATTTCCAGTGATGCCAGTATGTTGAATGGGCCACTAAAATGAAGGCATTTATAATGTAATGACTTCTGCATCCACATTTAAATGACCACCTTGCAGATTAATTTGGGATGGTAGTCCTATTCTGCTAATGGAGAATTTTATTTTTCAAGAAGGATGTTTGGAGAAGAGTTTGTAAAGAGTACTTTGTATTTTATTGTAATTTTCCAAGTACAAATTATTTTATAAAGGAGTATGGAGTTGGACATCTGTGCACATTCTATTGTTTGAATTTCTTTTAGAAAACACATGTGTTTTAGTGAATGGGTTTGATTGAAGTGTTATATGCCTTAAGAAATGTGTTGTACATCAGTTCTACATCTAGAGGGAACTAGGCCATAAAGGAATCTTTCCAATAGATGGAGCTAGAGGAGTGCACACAACCAATTCCAGCAGTTGACAGTGTACCTTGCTTTGGTGTGTGCTTAATTTATTTAAAGTTTAAACATTACACACACAAGCATGTATGGGTAATTAAGTAATCTCGGCAAACCAGAACCAAATTGTGCGTGAGCGCTATGTTTTCGTCCGTCACGAGAGACGTGTGTGTGTGAAATGAGATCTTTAAGAACATGTTATCACACTACAAATTACAATTGAATCTCTGTTTACAGATCGGATATTACTGTAAGGACACTATTCAATCCGTATCGCAGAAGTTAAGCGTTACATTTGTGATTTAAATTGAAAGGCAATGTTCCCGCATTAGTGGAGACTGCGTTCACGGTAAACGCTACATGTCGGCTCAATCGGAAATTACCTTTACATTTCTATTGCTTCAGCGATACAGATTGAATAGAGCCCTAGATCTAATCATGACATATTTCATCAACTTGTGACACTTCTCAAAATTGATTATCATACACGTGCCTGTCTGTACACAATTTATTTAAAAAAACTGTTCAGATAGATGGCACATGGCTGGTCTGTGATACAGTATTCTTCCAGGACAGGGCCTGCTATTGTTCAGCAGTGTCCCATGTGACGAGGACAATGAGGTGCACAGTAAGATCAGCCCAGCCAAATGTCTGTACTGTATTGTAACTACTGTGGAAGTTGTTACTGTAGTCATCCAGGCCTACGTGCAAACCGCCTGACTACTGACTCACACTGGCAAACGATATGTCTCTCCATCAAACATCAATAGCCTGTGCGTGTGTGCACCATGAACAAACATTTACAGAAATCATTGTTCAAGCTTGCAACTTACATATTGCACCACATTGTGGCATTATCTCTCTATGAATTGCAAAAAGCCATTTGGAACTATGGACCTTTTGATCATTGACAGGTACAGCATTCAATACATTTTCAGAGGATAAACTCCAAAGTAATGCAAGAAGATTTAAAGCCATTAAATTATCTTTATTTTGTAAAGAGAATTTAATGGCTTTGAAAATCTTGCATTACTTTGGAGTGTATCCTCTGAAAATGTACTGAATGCTGTACCTGTCAATCCTTTTCTCCCAACCTTCTCAGAACCTTTGAATAACAACCCATAGCAAGTGAACAGATATGACATTGACCTTTAATATTAATCACAGATTTAAAAACAAACATCTTTATTATTAATATACCATCAGCTTGCCTGAACCGAACACTGTCATCTTATCATCTTTATGGACATCAATTATTTTTGAAATGTTTGAATACACCTATACCTGAATATCATACATACAGTTGAAGTCGGAAGTTTACATACACCTTAGCCAAATACATTTAACTCAGTTTTTCACAATTCCTGACATTTAATCCTAGTACAAATTCCCTGTTTTAGGTCAGTTAGGATCACCACTTTATTTTAAGAATGTGAAATGTCAGAATAATAGTAGAGAGTGATTTATTTCAGATTTTATTTATTTCATCACATTCCCAGTGTGTCAGAAGTTTACATACACTCAATTAGTATTTGGTAGCATTGCCTTTAAATTGTTTAACTTGGGTCAAACATTTCGGGTAGCCTTCCACAAGCTACCTACAATAAATTGGGTGAATTTTGGCCCATTCCTCCTGACAGAGCTGGTGTAACTGAGTCAGGTTTGTAGGCCTCCTTGCTCGCACACGCTTTTTCAGTTCTGCCCACAAATGTTCTATAGAATTGAGGTCAGGGCATTGTGATGGTACCTTGACTTTGTCCTTAAGCCATTTTGCCACAACTTAGTATGCTTAGGGTCATTGTCCATTTGGAAGACCCATTTGTGACCAAGCTTTAACTTCCTGACTGATGTCTTGAGATGTTGCTTCAATATATCCACATAATTTTCCTTCCTCATGATGCCATCTATTTTGTGAAGTGCACCAGTCCCTCCTGCAGAAAAGCACCCCCACAGCATGATGCTACAACCCCCGTGCTTCACTGTTGGGATGGTGTTCTTCGGCTTGCAAGCGTCCCCGTTTTTCCTTCAAATATAAAGATGGTCATTATGGCCAAACAGTTCTATTTTTGTTTCATCAGACCAGACGACATTTCTCAAAAAAGTACGATCTTTGTCCCCATGTGCAGTTGCAAACCGTAGTCTGGCTTTTTTATGGCGGTTTTGGAGCAGTGGCTTCTTCCTTGCTGAGCAGCCTTTCAGGTTATGTCGATATAGGACTCGTTTTACTTTGGATATATATACAGTACTTTTGTACCTGTTTCCTCCAGCATATTCACAAGGTCCTTTGCTGTTGTTCTGGGATTGATTTGCACTTTTCGCACCAAAGTACGCTCATCTCTAGGAGACAGAACGCATCTCCTTCCTGAGCGGTATGACGGCTGCGTGGTCCCATGGTGTTTATACTTGCGTAATATTGTTTGTACAGATGAACGTGGTACCTTCAGGCGTTTGGAAATTGCTCCCAAGGATGAACCAGACTTGTGGAGGTCTACATTTATTTTCTGAGGTCTTGGCTGACTTCTTTTGATTTTCCCATGTTGTCAAGCAAAGAGGCACTGAGTTTGAAGGTAGGCCTTGAAATACATCCACAGGTATACCTCCAATTGACTCAAATGATGTCAATTAGCCTATCAGAAGCTTCTAAAGCCATGACATCATTTTCTGGAATTTTCCAAGCTGTTTAAAGGCACAGTCAACTTAGTGTATGTAAACTTCTGACCCACTGGAATTGTGATATGGTGAATTATAAATGAAATAATCTGTCTGTAAACAAATGTTGGAAAAATTACTTGTGTCATGCACAAAGTAGATGTCCTAACCGACTTGCCAAAACTATAGTTTATTAACAAGAAATTTGTGGAGTGGTTGAAAAACGAGTTTTAATGACTCCAACCTAAGTGTATGTAAACTTCCGACTTCAACTGTATATATTAAGGTTCTGCGTTTGCTTCAGTGAAATAACCAGACGCTCATTTAAAACACTCCCACTAAACACATTTGTAGAGGGCCAGTGACTATTTAACCTTGGGCTAGCGGCAGTTAGTGGTGACATGAAATCATGATGTTTTAAGGACGAGGGTAGCTTACAGCAGCAAATTCCTTGACATCAGCAAAAAAAACTTTCCTCTCTAATTTGACATTTAATTATTCCTCTGTCAGTTCTCAACTGTCTACAAATTAAGTGCCACACTGACATGTTCAAGTAGATAAAGACAATTGGATTCTGTATCGCTACTCGGTGTCAGCTCTGCTGCAATGGTTTCTGGGTCTTGAGATCAAACAGAAAAAGACAGGAAATGAACACAATGCTTCTTGCTCTGTCGTCATGGACACGTGGGCCAGATGGCTGGGAGAAGTGCTCTCCCAGGATAGAAACAAACACTACATCTCCCATACTGCACTGGGACACTGCAGGGCTTTGGCCGGACTTTTTATGAGTCTTTGAAATATTATTCTATGTCCCAGAACTGTGTGGCCTGATCAGTGGCAAATTCATTGACGACCAGGTGGTCCCTCTCAAAACCTGTTCCACCTGAAAGACATTTCACAAATGGTTCCTTTTAGGCAACAATCTTTCTTCTACTGTGTCTTGGAGACAACTGAAAATAAGTTACGTCCTTGCTTTTTTCCCCTAATGATTGGTATTTGTATAACTGGAAATACAGCATTTCCTGGTTCTGGGAATAACCAATTCTATACCAATACAATTTCTACCTCTTTTCTGAGACGGCTCTGCAAATATGGTTGTTATGATCTCAAAATAGATCCTCCACTAAGTATAGCATACGGTAGTTGAGTTTCAGCAGCAATACACAACAGAAACCTGTCTGATCTGTCAGCTCTCCACTATTACAGTAGGCTCCTCTGTGTTTATCAAAGACCATACATTATAGTGGAACTCTTATGGTCTCACCTCTCAAGTCCAGTACTAGTTTGTGGTTGAGATGGGAAGAGATGGTTCCGTTGTGGTTCAGGCTCCATCTTTGGTGTGTGCGTCCATGTTCCGGCCACAGGGCCACTCTGGCCCCCACTGTGGCCTTCCCCCCGATCACTGAAAGACATGCCTTACTGGCCTACAGGCAACACACACCTTGTCAGTATTTCACACAGATACTGCATAATACACACACACACACACATGCACAGATACTTACCATAGCATACCATAGGGAAGAGGATTGCATATTTCCCAGAATATTCCCATTCTAGTTTTGCGTAAATGTTGAGACTTTACCTCTTTCACTCCCCTCATGCATACACACATATGGTTGTCACACCCTCTAGTACACCACTTCCACTGCATGCATGCATGCACACACATTCACTCACTCACTCACCTTGCAGCGGAGCAGTCCTCCAGTGAAGAGCCAGCGCTGGGTGTCCAGAGAGCAGGCCGGGGACAGGGTCACTCTGGCTGGGGACGAGTCGTCCTGGTCACTCTCAGAGGTTAGCAGTGAGCCCAGAGCACGGCTCCTCACCTGTACATACAGCCTGGGCTGGAGGGAGACCACACACAAAGCACACAGTACAGACTGAATGAGGATCAACAACTTTCACAGCACATTATATAGACCCTAGGCAATGCTGCAAGGAAACTACATTGTTCACAAAAGGGAAAAACTAACTTATAACTTAAAATAACTTAAGTGGTTACCTCGCATCGGGTGTGTAGGTTTCGCCAGTTGTATTGTACTCCAACTACACTGAACAAAAATATAAACGCAACATGCAACAATTTCAAAGATTTGACTGAGTTACAGTTCATATAAGGAAATCAGTCAATTGAAATAAATTCATTAGGCCCTAATCTATGGATTTCACATGCCTGGGAATACAGATATGCATCTGTTGGTCACAGATACCTAAAAAAAAAAAAGGTAGGTGCGAGGATCAGAAAACCAGTCAGTATCTGGTGTGACCACCATTTGCTTCATGCAGCGCAATACATCTACATCGCATAGAGTTGATCATGCTGTTGATTGTGGCCTGTGGAATGTTGTCCCACTCCTCTTCAATGGCTGTCCAAAGTTGCTGGATATTGGCAGGAACTGGAACACTCTTGCCATACATGTCAATCCAGAGCATCCCAAACATGCTCAATGGGTGACATGTCTGGTGAGTATGCAGGCCATGGAAGAACTGGGACATTTTCACCTTCTGGGAATTGTGTACAGATCCTTGCGACATGGGGCTGTGCATTATTACATGAGGTGATGGCGGCAGATTAATGGTACAACAATGGGCCTTAGGATCTTGTCACGGTATCTCTGTGCATTCAAATTGCCATTGATCAAATGCAATTGTGTTTGTTGTTCGTAGCTTATACCTGCCCATACCATAACCACACCATGGGGCACTCTGTTCACAACGTTGACATCAGCAAACTACTCGCCCACACGACACCATACACGCCATCTGCCCAGTACAGTTGAAACCGGGATTCATCCGTGAAGAGCACACTTCTCCAGTGTGCCAGTGGCCATCGAAGGTGAGGATTTTCCCACTGATGTCGGTTACGAGGCCGAACTGCAGTCAGGTCAAGACCCTGGTGAGGACGACGAGCACGTAGATGAGCTTCCCTGAGACGGTTTCTAACAGTTTGTGCAAAAATCCTTTGGTTGTGCAAACCCACAGTTTCATCAGCTGTCCGGGTGGCTGGTCTCAAACGATCCCCCAGGTGAAGAAGCCAGATGTGGAGGTCCTGGGCTGGCATGGTTACACGTGATCTGCGGTTGTGAGGCTGGTTGGACGTACTGCCAAATTCTCTAAAACAACGTTGGAGGCGACTTATGGTAGAGAAATGAACATTAAATTATCTGGCAACAGCTCTGGTGGACATTCCTGCAGTCAGCATGCCAGCTGCGCGTAGCATTGTGTTGTGTGACAAAACTGCACATTTTATAGTGGCCTTTTATTGTCCCCAGCACAAGGTGCACCTGTGTAATGATCATGCTGTTTAATCAGCTTCTTGATATGCCACAGCTGTCAGGTGGATGGATTATCTTGGCAAAGGTGAAATGCTCACTAACAGGGATGTAAACAAATTTGTGCACAACATTTGAGAGAAATACGCTTTTTGAAATGGAACATTTCTGGGATATTTTATTTCAGGTCATGAAAAATGGGATCAACACTTTACACGTTGCGTTTGTATTTTTGTTCAGTGTACTTACTTTTGCAACAAAGTAATAATAACAGTTGCTATCCTACTGGTAGTTCCTCTAAGGACTGTGTAATGTGAAAACCGCTATGTAACACATGACAGCTAGCACTGCCATCTATGGTACACAGCACAGACGAGTGCTTCACTCAGAGGTCAATGGGAAACGTGAGCCATGCCACATTAAATACGTGTAAGTGGAAGAACCTACAGGTAACTGCCAAAATAAAGGAAACACAGGAGTAAATGAGGGATACAAAGTATATTGAAAGCAGGTGCTTCCACACAGGTGTGGTTCCTGAGTTAATTAAGCAATTAAAACATCCCATCATGCTTAGGGTCATGTATAAAAATGCCCAGTTGCCCATTATTTTGGCTACCATGGCTAGAAGAAAAGATCTCAGTGACTTTGAAAGAGGAGTCTCAAAGTAGCAGAGGGGGTTTAAAGGGTGTGTATGTCTCAGTCACCAGATCTCAACCCAATCGAACACTTATGGGAGGTTCTGGAGCGGTGGCTGAGACAGCGTTTTCCATCAACAAAACACCAAATGATGGAATTTCCTGTTCAAGAATGGCTTCGCATCCCTCCAATAAGAGTTATAGCCACTTGTAGAATCTATGCTAAGGCGCATGAAGCTGTTCTGGTGGCTCATGGTGCCCTAACACCCTATTAAGACACTTTATGTTAGTGTTTCCTTTATTTTGGCAGTTACCTGTATAGAGCCCCACAGTGGAGGTGTCATAATACCCATAAAACTTAGTGGTCAAACAGGAAAATGGATCCAATCGTTTTTCCGCCATTCATTTTTCCCATAGGGAATTTTAGAAACACTTAAAATAAGGGCTGTGTTTCATGTAGCCTTACCATGGCATGACGTTTTGATAACCATGTAAATCTCTCTCGGACAAGGTGTCTTTTATCAATATATTCACCTCCAATTACTCTCAGATTCGAAAATGCTAATTAGCATCAAAGTAGACATCATGCAAGACTACAAATCCCTGCACGTCATCTCTAGCTGACGCCTTTGCTAACAGGTAGTGTCCATTTAAAACTTGCACAAGACAGTTCACAGAATTGTCAATTTAAAGAAATGTTGGCAATTTATTCATTACAAAATGTAGCTAACATGAATTAATCTAGAGATTCTTACCTTTGCCTCAATTCGGCAGTCTTGCCCAGATCATCATGGCATTTGTAGTTCTTTATGATAGCCACATTATCAGCTAATTAGCATTTCATTTGGGGGGGGGGGGTAAATACAGGTATTGATAAAAGTCACCTTGTCCTAGAGAGATTTACACGGTTATCAAAACGTCATGCCAGGGTAAGCCTACATGAAACACAGCCCTTATTTTAAGTGTTTCTAAAATCCCCTATGGGAAAAATTAATGGTGGGAAAATTTTTTGAAACATTTTCTTGTTTGACCACTAGGTTTTATGACTAATACTGTGGTACTCTATAGAGCTGCATATGGCTCCAGTCAAATCAGCTCGAGCGAGAAACGGGTATAAATCACCACAACCCCTTTCACACCGTTTGCCTTGTCAACAAACAGTGAGAGAAGCGCTCCGCCACACATATACACACACACACGTACGCACACACACACACGAGTCAGTGCTAAGCCCTGTGTCGCTCACTGGGTATAAATAACTTTCTGGGAAGTGGGTTTTATCAGGACCCAGCAGGCTTCAGGCTCAAAGTCCCAAGCATGGAGCTCCTCTTATAAAATGGGTCAAAATCATGTATAGTAACCCTAGGTGTAAAATAGTAAATAGTGGCTATTTCTCAGAAAGTTTTAAACTGTCAAGAGGAGTGAAACAAGGTTGTCCACTATCGGCATATCTATTTATTGTGGCCATCGAGATGTTAGCTATTAAAATCAGATCCAACAATAATATCAGGGGATTAGAAATCCAGGGCTTAAAAACAAAGGTGTCATTGTACGCTGATGATTCATGTTTTCTTTTAAATCCAAAACTAGAATCACTCCACAGCCTCATAGAGGATCTAACCTCTCTGGATTACAACCAAATTATGACAAATTTACTATATTACGTATTGGATCAATAAAAAATAAAAATAGTACATTGCCATGTAGTTTACCAATAAAATGATCTGATGGTGATGTGGATATACTCGGAATACATATCCCAAAGGAAATAAATGATCTCACTTCAATAAATTATAATAGAAAGTTAGCAAAAATAGATAAGATCTTGCTACCATGGAAAGGTGGGTGCCTGTCAATTTGTGGAAAAATCACCCTTTGCTTATGGTCTTGCCTACGCCTAGCGAACAGTTTTTAAAATTATATGAGAAAGAAATATTCCATTTTATTTGGAACGGCAAGCCAGACAAAATTAAACGGGCCTATTTATATAATGAATATGAATTCGGACGACAGAAATTATTAAATATTAAAGCATTAGACCTATCACTAAAAGCTTCAGTCATACAAAAGTTATACTTAAATCCGAACTGGTTCTCTAGCAAATTAGTAAGATTGTCTCACCCAATGTTCAAGAATGGCCTTTTTCCCTTTATTCAGATTACAACCACTCACTTTCAGTTATTTGAAAAGGAAATCATCTCCCAGATATCACTATTTCTACAAGCCATAGAAAGTTGGTTGCAATTTAAATGTAATCCTCCAGAAACGACAGAACAAATAATGCAACAAATATTGTGGTTAAACTCAAATATAATAATTGACAAAAAACCTATTTTTTTTGACAAAATGTTTAAAAAATGTATAATCTTTGTAAATGATATCATCGGTAGGACGGACTGGTGGAGTTATGTCGCACATGCAGCTAACAAAAACATATGGAAATGTCTGCTCTACCCAAACTTACAACCAAATAATTGCAGCCTTACCGCAAAAATGGAAGAGGAAAGTGGAAGGAGGAGAAAGTAAGGAACTTGTCTGTCGGCCTTGCATTAAATAACATAATTGGTTAAGGAAAACTGTGATAAATAAAAAAGTATATCAGTTTAATTTAAGGACCAAAGGATTGACAGCCGTCCCATATAGATTGCAAAATAGTTGGGAAGAGATTTTTGACGTACCGATCCCATGGCATAGTGTTTATGAACTGATACGCAAAACGACACCGGATTCAAAACTTTGAATCTTTCAATTTAAATTATTATATAAAATTCTTGCTACCAATAGAATGTTATTTATATGGGGGATACAATCTTCCCAGCTCTGCAGATTTTGCTGCGAAGAGACAGAAATTACATCATTTGTTTTGGTACTGTCCATTTGTAGCTTGTTTTTGGACACAGGTCCAGGAATGGCTAAAGGATTGCAATATTTACCTGGAGCTAACCCTGCAGATAGCATTACTGGGTGATCTGAAAAGTCATAGTCAATCGATCAATAACATAATAATACTATTAGCAAAAAAAAATTCAATTCACAATCTGTAGAAACAATGAGAATAGAAAGGTTCAGAACTTTTGTAAGACATCACAGTACAGTTGAAATATATATGGCAAATAGAAATCCTATATGGATGGTGTTGAATGGGAGGTGTTGAATGGAATTGAAGGATGGGACTAATAACAACTAACAACAAACAATAACAAGATAACTAATAATGTAGGCACGCTATGTCCATAATAAGAGTATGGGTTGTAGGTTGGGAGCTTTTGTGAAGGAGCACAGTTAGAAAGATATGGCATATACAAGCGAACCGGATGGACATCATGAAAATGATCAGGAGAGGTTGAGAGTAGAAGAAGTTCAGGAGAAAGAACAAACAAAATGTAATTATTGTAAAATTGACTGTGTCCATAAAATGTAGATAGTGGGTATGGGCTGGAAGTAGAGGCCTAGGCGTTGTTGTTCACTAGTTTACTCCAAGTGGGGATTGGAAAGTATGTATGTGTATGTATGTATATGTGTATGTACAGTGGGGGAAAAAAGTATTTAGTCAGCCACCAATTGTGTAAGTTCTCCCACTTAAAAAGATGAGAGAGGCCTGTAAATTTCATCATAGGTACACGTCAAATGAGAAAAAATCCAGAAAATCACATTGTAGGATTTTTTATGAATTTATTTGCAAATTATGGTGGAAAATAAGTATTTGGTCAATAACAAGTTTCTCAATACTTTGTTATATACCCTTTGTTGGCAATGACACAGGTCAAACGTTTTCTGTAAGTCTTCACAAGGTTTTCACACACTGTTGCTGGTATTTTGGCCCATTCCTCCATGCAGATCTCCTCTAGAGCAGTGATGTTTTGGGGCTGTCACTGGGCAACACAGACTTTCAACTCCCTCCAAAGATTTTCTATGGGGTTGAGATCTGGAGACTGGCTAGGCCACTCCAGGAACTTGAAATGCTTCTTACGAAGCCACTCCTTCGTTGCCCGGGCGGTGTGTTTGGGATCATTGTCATGCTGAAAGACCCAACCACGTTTCATCTTCAATGCCCTTGCTGATGGAAGGAGGTTTTCACTCAAAATCTCACGATACATGGCCCCATTCATTCTTTCCTTTACACGGATCAGTCGTCCTGGTCCCTTTGCAGAAAAACAGCCCCAAAGCATGATGTTTCCACTCCCATGCTTCACAGTAGGTATGGTGTTCTTTGGATGCAACTCAGCATTCTTTGTCCTCCAAACACGACGAGTTGAGTTTTTACCAAAAAGTTCTATTTTGGTTTCATATGACATTCTCCCAATCCTCTTCTGGATCATCCAAATGCACTCTAGCAAACTTCAGACGGGCCTGGACATGTACTGGCTTAAGCAGGGGGACACGTCTGGCACTGCAGGATTTGAGTCCCTGGCGGCGTAGTGTGTTACTGATGGTAGGCTTTGTTACTTTGGTCCCAGCTCTCTGCAGGTCATTCACTAGGTCCCCCCGTGTGGTTCTGGGATTTTTGCTCACCGTTCTTGTGATCATTTTGACCCCACGGGGTGAGATCTTGTGTGGAGCCCCAGATCGAGGGAGATTATCAGTGGTCTTGTATGTCTTCCATTTCCTAATAATTGCTCCCACAGTTGATTTCTTCAAACCAAGCTGCTTACCTATTGCAGATTCAGTCTTCCCAGCCTGGTGCAGGTCTACAATTTTGTTTCTGGTGTCCTTTGACAGCTCTTTGGTCTTGGCCATAGTGGAGTTTGGAGTGTGACTGTTTGAGGTTGTGGACAGGTGTCTTTTATACTGATAACAAGTTCAAACAGGTGCCATTAATACAGGTAACAAGTGGAGGACAGAGGAGCCTCTTAAAGAAGTTGTTACAGGTCTGTGAGAGCCAGAAATCGTGCTTGTTTGTAGGTGACCAAATACTTATTTTCCACCATAATTTGCAAATAAATTCATAAAAAATCCTACAATGTGATTTTCTGGATTTTATTTCCACAATTTGTCTGTCATAGTTGACGTGTACCTATGATGAAAATTACAGGCCTCTCTCATCTTTTTAAGTGGGAGAACTTGCACAATTGGTGGCTGACTAAATACTTTTTCCCCCCCACTGTATGTGTGTATGTGTATGTGTATATATATATGTATATGTATGTATATATGTGTATATATATATATATATATATATATATATATATATACATGTATATATATTTTTTTTAAACATGGGGGATTGGAAGTGATGCAGACAATTACATTGATGGAAGTTACAATCTATCTGCAATATTAAGCTGATCTACCCCCAGAAAAAAAAAAAATATAATAATAATAATAATAATAATAATAATAATGCACTGTTGTTTCTCTTTGCTTATTTGAGCTGTTCTTGCCATAATATGGACTTGGTCTTTTACCAAATAGGGCTATCTTCTGTATACCACCCCTACCTTGTCACAACACAACTGATTGGCGCAAACGCATTAAGAAGGAAAGAAATTCCACAAATTGACTTTTAACAAGACACACCTGTTAATTGAAATGCATTCCAGGTGACTACCTCATGAAGCGTGCAAAGTGTGTGCAAAGCTGTCATCAAGGCAAAGGGTGGCTACTTTGAAGAATCTCAAATATAAAATATATTTTGATTTGTTTAACACTTTTTTGGTTACTACATGATTCCATATGTGTTATTTCATAGTTTTGATGCCTTCACTATTATTCTACAATGTAGAAAATAGTACAAATAAAGAAAAACCCTGGAATGAGTAGGTGTGTCCAAACTTTTGACTGGTACTGTCTATACAGTTGAAGTCGGAAGTGTCCATACACTTAGGTTGGAGTCATTAAAACTAGTTTTTCAACCACTCCACAAATTTCTTGTTAACAAACTATAATTTTGGCAAGTCGGTTAGGACATCTACTTTGTGCATGACACAAGTAATGTTTCCAACAATTGTTTACAGACAGATTATTTCACTTATAATTCACTGTATCACAATTCCAGTGGGTCAGAAGTTTACATACACTAAGTTGACTGTGCCTTTAAACAGCTTGGAAAATTCCAGAAAATGATGTCATGGCTTTAGAAGCTTCTGATAGGCTAATTGACATCATTTGAGTCAATTGGAGGTGTACCTGTGGATGTATTTCAAGGCCTACCTTCAAACTAGGTGCCTCTTTGCTTGACATCATGGGAAAAATCAAAAGAAATCATCCAAGACCTCAGAAAAAAAATTGTAGACCTCCACAAGTCAGGTTCATCCTTGGGAGCAATTTCCAAACGCCTGAAGGTACCACGTTCATCTGTACAAACAATAGTACGCAAGTATAAACACCATGGGACCAAGCAGCCGTCATACCGCTCAGGAAGGAGACGCGTTCTGTCTCCTAGAGTTGAACGTACTTTGGTGCGAAAAGGGCAAATCAATCCCAGAACAACAGCAAAGGACCTTGTGAAGATGCTGGAGGAAACGGGTACAAAAGTATCTATATCCACAGTAAAACAAGTCCTATATCAACATAACCTGAAAGGACGCTCTGAAAGGAAGAAGCCACTGCTCCAAAACCGCCAAAAAAAAGCCAGACTACGGTTTGCAACTGCACATGGGGACAAAGATCGTACTTTTTGGAGAAATGTCCTCTGGTCTGATGAAACAAAAATAGAACTGTTTGGCCATAATGACCATCGTTATGTTTGGAGGAAAAAGGGGGATGCTTGCAAGCCGAAGAACACCATCCCAACCGTGAAGCACGGGGGTGGCAGCATCATGCTGTGGGGGTGCTTTGCTGCAGGAGGGACTGGTGCACTTCACAAAATAGATGTATCATGAGGAAGGAAAATGATGTGGATATATTGAAGCAACATCTCAAGACATCAGTCAGGAAGTTAAAGCTTGGTCGCAAATGGGTCTTCCAAATGGACAATGACCCCAAGCATACTTCTAAAGTTGTGGCAAAATGGCTTAAGGACAACAAAGTCAAGGTATTGGAGTGGCCATCACAAAGCCCTGACCTCAATCCTATAGAACATTTGTGGACAGAACTGAAAATGCGTGTGCGAGCAAGGAGGCCTACAAACATGACTCAGTTACACCAGCTATGTCAGGAGGAATGGGCCAAAATTCACCCAATTTATTGTGGGAAGCTTGTGGAAGGCTACCCAAAATGTTTGACCCAAGTTAAACAATTTAAAAGCAATGCTACCATATACTAATTGAGTGTATGTACATTTCTGACCCACTGGGAATGTGATGAAAGAAATAAAAACTGAAATAAATAATTCTCTCTACTATTATTCTGACATTTCACATTCTTAAAATAAAATGGTGATCCTAACTGACCTAAAACAGGGACTTTTTACTAGAATTAAATGTCACGAATTGTGAAAAACTGAGTTGAAATGTATTTGGCTTCCGACTTCAACTGTATATATTCATTTACAAATGTTACAATTTTTCTTCCACTTTGACATTAGAGTATTTTGTGTAGATCGTTGACAAATCCATTTTAATCCCACTTTGTAACAACAAAATGTGGAAAAAGTAAAGGGGTGTGAATACTTTCTGAAGGCACTGTAGGTTCGAATCTCACTGACGCGGTGCCACAATAAAAAATTAATCTGTTTGCATGATTAATGCCTAAGCAAATTAATTTTAATGTGTCCTATCTGTGTTTGGAGTTCAAAACAGTTAACCCAAACTAAGCTAGCAGTGTTATTAAAAGTCTTATTGAAACATTAGGTCAAATTTTAAGGAAGTTATTCCAAAACCTCAAAATAACCTATAATTTCCATTCACAAAATGTTAATAAAACTTCCCAGGAAAACTTTCAGGGAACCATAGTAAAATGTTCTCAGATCCTCCCTGCAACATAAACATTGATGTTCCCAGAACAGGCAACATTTTTACTTCCGTTCTCAGAACATTTAAAAAAAACATTCAGTTTTACAGGTCAGGAAACGTATAGCTTTATTCCCAGAACCAATTGGAAATGAAAAACATACGTTCCCACAACTTCCAAGGAACCAAATGTGCTAGCTGGGAAATGACACAGAGTGACTCAAATGTCAATTTTGTGTGTGTTTTACCTGTTTGAGGGGCCGTAAGGAGCCAATGGTGTCCCAGCCACTGTGCTCTCCCCACACAGGAAGCTCCCCTGGCTGCAGCAGCATCTGACGGCCCTTATAGTTACTGTATTCATACACCACCCACCTGCCAAAGACACACACACAGCTGAAACAGGGCCATATTCATTAGGGTGCAACGCAGAGAAACATCTTAAAGCTGAAAATAAAAATGAGCCTTCTTATTGGACAAGTTCAGGTAGTACCTCCCTGTTTCACTTGTTTTCTTACTGAACATGACACACGTCAGAGGCCAAAGAAACAGTAAGTTCCTTCTCTATGTATAGTGTCTGGCAGTAATGTTAGCTGTTCAGTGACATAAGAGGTGATAGGCTATCTCTCTACTCACAGTCCACTGTGGACCTGCAGAGACTGGGTGAAGAAGTCCTTCATGTGGTCTGTGGGCATCACAACAACCATCTTGAGGCCCTCAAAGGAACCCAGGGAAAACAGGCTGATGGACGGGTCGGAGAAACTCTACAGAGGTAACAGGAAGGGAAGGGAGCCATCTTAGATGAGAATGCCATTGGATTTACTTTATGTATGTTCTGTCCTTTTTCAATAAGTGCCTGTATTGAACTATATTAGGGCAAACTACACAATACATCCTTTCTCCCTATATTCGTAAAGCAGTCCACTACTTTTGGCTGGAGTCATACTAAGACTTGTCTCTGGTCAAAAGTAGGACATTATGGGGAAAAGGTTGTCATTTGTGATGCTCCAATGGTGGCTGAACGGAAACTACCTTCATCTACACTACATGACCAAAAGTATATGGACACCTGCTCGTCGAACATCTCATTCCAAATCATGGGCATTAATATGGAGTTGGTCCACCCTTTTGCTGCTATAACAGCCTCCACTCTTCTGGGAAGGCTTTCCACTAGATGTTGGAACATTGCTGCAGGGACTTGCTTCCATTCAGCCACAAGAGCATTAGTGAGGTCGGGCAATGATGTTGGGCGATTAGGCCTTGCTCGCAGTCGGTGTTCCAATTAATCCCAAAGGTGTTCGATGGGGTTGAGGTCAGGGCTCTGTGCAGGCCAGTCAAGTTCTTCCACACCGATCTCGACCAACCATTTCTGTATGGACCTTGCTTTGTGCAAGGGGGCATTGTCATGCTGAAACAGGAAATGACCTTCCCCAAACTGTTGCCACAAAGTTGGAAGCACAGAATCATCTAGAATGTCATTGTGTGCTGTAGCATTAAGATTTCCCTTCACTGGAACTAAGGGGCCTAGCCCGAACCATGAAAAACAGCCCCATACCATTATTTCTCAAACACCAAACTTTACAGTTGGCACTATGCATTTGGGCAGGTAGCGTTCTCCTGGAAAGGTGGCATCCTATTACGGTGCCACGTTGAAAGTCACTGAGCTCTTCAGTAAGGCCATTCTACTGCCAATGTTTGTCTATGGAGATTGCATGGCGGTGTGCTCGATGTTCTATACCTGTCAGCAACAGGTGTGGCTGAAATAGCAGAATCCACTCATTTGAAGGAGTGTCCACATACTTTTGTATATATAGTGTATTTATCACCATCTATTTATCATGGCATATAATACTGTTAAACTGAATGTGTGCTCACGTGTCTCATCTAGCTTGTTGTGCTACCTAAAGATAGCAGTAAATGGGCTGAGGTCATGCCAGGTTCACTCACATAAGGAATGGGCCTCAGTGATTTGACAGAAGTGGCCACACAGCCACAGGAAATGAGGTCAGGATAAAGGCCCTCTCCCAGGACGTACTGGTTTCCACAGCAACCCTCCTCATCAAAAAGCAGCCAGCTGGACAGGGGCAAGAAGAGCAGTGAGCGTGAGTAAGACAATCAGCATCACAGACATTGTTCTCTGCCTCCTATGGCAACTACAATTAAAGATACATTGTGGCATGCCTACAGTAGAGTACTGACAAGCCATAATTAGCAACCTATAAAGAAAATTGTTAAGTAAAAATGTGCATTAACCCATAATAATAATTGATTGGATTTATATAACACTTTTCCAGTGCTCAAGGCGCTTTACATAGTAAAAGGGGACATAACTCCACCTCTAGGATCAATACAGATCCAATAGTACAATGGTAGTCCTCTAGTACTCACCTTCCCCTGATGACTCTGAAGGACATGGGGGAGGCAGAGCCACAGTGCCCTGCCTCCGCCTTGTACTCCTCACTCAGTCCCCTGTAGTGGGGCTGGCTGTAGGCCCACAGCTGGAGACACAAAAGCACAACTTAGTACACACTTCACAGCTGGATATCAATACTCAGATAGCCCCTTTCCCTAGTCTCTTTTTGACAGGTGAAATTAATGTGGTGTAATTCCATATACATACCAAGAACTTTGGTTCTCCGGTGCAACAAAGGTGCTGCTGTAATAAAAAAAAAAGTGTTTTGACATATTTTCCCAAGTCATATTTTCCAACATCTATACCATATATTTTTCAGAGAGCAACATAGAGCTACATAGAAGAGACATAGGAGGGATTTCATCTGCATGACACTCTTATGTCAGTCTTATGATCTATTCCTCTAATAGGCTATGAAATGGAGCTCACCAATCGTATGGGTCGGATAGACTTGGCTGCCCCATGGTTGCCACCCCAGTACAGAGTGGCAGGATGTTTGCCTTTCTCCAGTATGCACTGCTCTCCACTGAAACATTGCTCGCTATACGCCACCCATCTGAAACACAGCACAGCCCAGAGACAATCAGCACCGCAGAGGCACAGTGAATAGTGAATGACAAAGTCATGTGAAACTATGTGAACTTTAGTTTGTTGGGATTAGGGTTGCATAGGAAGGGTATATTACGGGGAACTACCAGAATTTTGGTAACTTTCAAGTTTTAATTTTAACAGATGACATCTAGTGGCCTCTTTGGGTACTTCAGATTATCACAGGTGTCTGTAATTATCTCTGGACCTCTGTGAGACCTTACCACTTGTAAAATATATAGAATAATGAAATATGATGATTTTAAAATACAAAATAGAATGACAAAGATTCAAAACATTGTCCTAAATATAAACCATCAACTTAGGGAATATCATTGGGATTTAATATTAGGGTTTCAGCATGAAATATCCTTTATATATTTCTTAACACACTTATTTATTTGACTATGTCAATATGTCTTTGTTGTAAATGTTTTGGTGCCAAACTGGTGGCAGTTGTGAAAAAAGTAAATAGTTGGAAGAGATGCAGAGTTAATTTAAAATAATGGCATTGTTGATTAGATAAAAAAAAAAAAATATATATATATCTATCTATCTATATATATATATATATATATATATCTTTAACCATATGGTCTATCCACTAGAAACTAATGGACAATATGGACATATATAAAAAAAAATGAATACTATATATGAATACATTTTTAAAAAAGTTAATCAAGTATAAATTACCAAAGTTACCATAGATTACCTGTTAATTACCACAATTACAGAAGATTCTGGTAACTTTGGTAAATTACAGGTAGCTTTGCAACCCTAGTTAAGATGCACCTCTATTGAGATGTTATTATGACTGGTCTTCTGCAGTGTTGGGGTCAATTCCATTTAACCCTTTACACTCGTGGGAATTGGCCTATATGGAATTGGCCTATATTTCTTACAGAAGAAATATGAAAAGCTTATGCATAAACATGGTAGCAATTGAAAGGGAACAGTTTGGAGATTATGGGAAAATTATTAGACCAAAGTTGAGGACACAACAGTTCACTTGACAAGACTGAATGCAAACATTACACTGTTGATTTTATATTTACTGTATTTTTCGCAGCATTTGTTGATAACAAAATTTGAAAACACTCTGGATACATTCAGTAACATGATAAGACTATTCCTGGGAAATGTGGGGTAGGTGCAACATAAGACAAAAACAATACAAGGGTTTGAGTGAGAGGACTAACTGGTGTCTCCAAGTGGCCACACACCTCTCCAAAGTCTGCACAGTTCCTAAGTAATTTCAATGCATTTTCATGACCAAGAAGTCTTCAGCTATAAGGTGTTTTTGTGAGCTCTCCTAGCTGTGCCGTTGAGGAACTAGAACAAGCACACTTGTAGTTGTTTTGTTTAGAACACAACCCTGCATCCTCGCCATCACACAATTACTGTTGTTGTTAACGCAATCCAAAAACGGCCCATTTTAAATCACATTCTGGGTCAGGTGGGCATCATTTGAATGCTTGTTCTATTGCCAACATGACTAGCTAAGTTATAAAATAGGATATAATAGTGTTAGGCTTTCACAAGGCAAATCAGAGAAATAGATCATAATTTTCTTCACAATCGACAAACATAGGCTCATTCTGTTCAAAACAACCCAGGGTATGACGCCATGTCATCTTGTAACTGTACATCAAACATAGTGATCATAAACGTTGACACTGTACACTGAGTGTACAAGACATGACAGACTGATCAGGTGAATCCAGGTGAAAGCTATGATCTCTTATTGATGTCACATGTTAAATCCACTTCAATCAGTGTAGATGAAGGGGAGGAGACAGGTTAAAGAAGGATTTTTAAGCCTTTAAACAATTGAGACATGGATTGTGTATGTGTGCCATTCAGAGGGCGAATGGGCAAGATAAAATATTTAAGTGCCTTTGAACGGGGTATGGTATTAGGTGCCAGGCACACCGGTTTGAGCGTGTCAAGAACTGCAACGCTGCTGGGTTTTTCACGCTCAACAGTTTCCTGTGTGTATCAAGAAGGGTCCACCACCCAAAGGACATCCAGCCAACTTGACACAACTGTGGGAAACATTGGAGTCAACATGGGCCAGCATCCCTGTGGAATGCTTTCGACACCTTGTAGAGTACATGCTCCGACGAATTGAGACTGTTCTGAGGGCAAAAGGGGATGCAACTCAATATTAGGAAGGTGTTCCTAATGTTTTGTACACTCAGTGTATATGACATGAGTTTTATGATATGGAAATGTGAAGTGCACATTTGGATTCACGGGTGTTTGGCATGCTTGTATGACATCAAAGCTGTATTTATTATAATCCTCAACATCTCATCTTTCAAGATACATTGAGTCCTCTTAATTTACAGCATTTCCTTAACTCAGACATGTGCAAAAGTTGCCCAATTAACGGGAGGGTAGGGGGCAACTTTTTGTCACGTGCTGTGCTCAAGTTCAGAACGGCTGTCAGTCAAAACCCATACAGAGCTCTGACGTCATTTATAGCGTGTTACTATACAGCCACTGCTTTCCAATTTAGACACTTATCAGTGTCCAAATCTGCAATTTTCAACCCATATACGGGTACGAGTGTAAAGGGCTACATTCAGGAAGTAAACAGAATTTCAGTTTACTTCCTGAATTGACGACAACCCTGCTCCTCTAATTGATACTCACACTCCACTCTTCACACAGAAGGTGGTGGTCTTTTCAGTGGCTCCAGCCTTCTCCAGATCAGGGACGTCCAGATCCAAAATGTCCCTTCTCCCGGCTCCAGGCGAGCTAGTTTCCTCCTGCAGTGAGACTGAGGGCTCTATGAAGTCCTAGCAATGGGAACCATGCAGAAGAGCTCAATGAGTAAGAGACTGCTTTATAAAATAGCTACAACAACTCTTACACTAAAGAAGCCTAGTGCATAAACAGAGTTTATATGAAGAAATGTGGGCTGGTTAACTGTATAGAAACTAGCACAACTGTACAAACCACCTTTATCCAATTCTTATGAAGTTTCCCTTTTTCAGCCTCGAACTGAAAAACTCTACAAGCTGCATTTACATAACTGCTGCATTTAGCTCAGGTAGTAAGCACTAGCCGTAGTGGGAGCTTTACAGAATGGCTGCTGGTGGCTGGTGATTACACGACAGGGTATAGTTGATCAAAAGAGTTGTGCCGCTAACAGCCAGAGGGCACTGGGGTGGAGGTAACTGGAATGCTAATGAACCTGCGGTATGATAGACAGCTAGCAATGAACTCTACCTGTTTAATCCCATTAGAAGCGTAGCCTAACCTATCCTAGCCAGGAGTTTGCTGTTAGAGCGTTTCTACTAGCTAGTGCTTCTGACTGATATCAGGAGGCTAAAATAGACACTTAGACAGTGGTGAGGTGATGGAAAGGGAGTGGAATAGAGGTCTGCTGGCTGTCAACTGGGTTATACCGATGGCTAATATAAAACATTTGGCCTGGTTTCAGACAAATGCTTCTGCCATTGAGAGTTGGAAAACTCACACACACATGCAGGCACACTCATAGACCCCAACACATTTTATTGACTTCCCTCATTCTTTCAAATCAAGTGTAAGCTTTCAGGATAGGCTTTGTACATGTACACATTCCCACATAGGCCACATATACTGAATACACTGTAAATAACCATATTATTAAAATCCCGTAACTTACTGCCTGTAAGAAGCGGAAAGAAAGCAACAGAGGGTGATCGGCTCCACCCAGATCTGCACAGTCACTGTATTCTCCCTCCTCCAGTAAATACTCCCACCCTGTGTAGTCCTCTCCAGTGTAGCCCACCCATCTGTCAAACACATAGGTCACAGGTCAAACCACAGCTAAATATTCTTACCCACACTTATACCAACACAGCTTGAATAGGAGCCTGGGTGTCAATGATATGGTGGTGCTGATAACAGTGTCTTAGCGGTGGATATGCCACTTGAGTTAATGGCAAGGAATGTTTGATTGATTTATTGTTTGATTGATCGTGATTGTTTGGGTTTTTTGAGGTGTTACAATTGAAATGTTATCAGATGTCAGGCGTACCAACCCTCTCTGTAACCAAACACCACACCAAAGCATGCATGCGCACACACACACACACACACACTTCCTGTTCTACTTGGCTTATGTTTGCGCAGGGAGGTGAACTACATTTGCTTCATATCACAGTAGAGGTAGCATTCCTGAGTAATCACATGACCAGCAGATTGTGAAACTGTTTGCAGCAGAAAGACACCTTACAAAATCCTCAGTAGAGGTAGCATTCCAGAGTAAGTATGCAGCTTGGCATGAATGCACTTAGTTTCTCCTTCCCTCACTCCGTCCCTCACTCACTCACTCTCTCACTCACAAAAAACAAATGCATGTGGATTCCCAAACAAACAAAACCTTATATTCTCCATAGAAATTGGAATGACATTTAACTAAGAGGGTTTAGACATGTTCATTAATCTGAGTCTATGAGTGAGAGTCCTCGTCTGTCTCCATCAGCTGTGGATGACAGGCAGGCAGACACAAACAGGCAGACAAACAGGAGGGAGGGCAGTGACATGGACTCACACTCCACCAATGACCCGTAGCGACGACACCCCCTTCATCCCAGTCACAGCTCCCAGACTGGGGGTGTGGCCTCCCAGCTCTCTGCCCCGCCCCTGGAAGAGGGGCTGCTCGAATACCAACATCTAAAAAAAAATCACAAACAAAAAACGATATCTCATGCACTTCCTAAATTAATTTACATTCATTATCATTATAATTCATCATCATTGTGCAAATTGAAGTGATTATTTAACTGTATGAGATCGGATGTTTACTGCAGGGAACAGGGGTTTGTGCTTTACTTTCACTATTGATAATGTCTTACCTTAGGATCCAGTGGTCTGCTCACTCTGAGCCCACTCTGTCAGAAAGACACAGAACACAATGAAACCTAACCTTGATGAAAATGAGGCCCAGACGTATATATTTCTGAGACGTTGAGACATAGCCCATTACATTTATGAAATCCTATGGGCCAATTTGGAAATCGAATATAAACTCCTTTCCTGAGTGTACAGCATTGAAATGTAATTGGGCCCAACCCCGACCACAGCCAAGCAGTGTCAGCCACCTCGAAGTGATGCCACCTTGGTGAACCCTTACCATTCTGAGGGGTCTCAGTGACCTCACAGTGGTGACCTGGGGATGACCAATGCCAGGTGTTGTGGAGCCGCCTGCTTCCATAACCGCATAGTTCCCATGGAAACCAGGGCTAGCGTAGGCAAGCCAACTAAGGTGGAAAAACAAGATCAAGGCATTATCAATGAGAGGCCCAGGTAATCTAATCTCACTTGTTTGCTAAGCAGACACGTATGTTACAAGCATCGGGCGTCGCTGATATTGTTTTTAATTTACAGGTAAACATTGTCCATTTATGTGGCACCACATTTATGGCAGCTGCTCAGTTCATTGCTTTATGCATGAAATGTATGCATGGTTGAATGCATGATCAAACACAAATACTTTGTCCACAGTCATACTGTCAGTGTCACTAATCTCCACTACAATAGAAACCACTCATCTTCTCTGTGAGAAGAAAACTATTTTATTGAAAATGTGTTACTATGGAACAACAAAGGAAAATCCCTAACGGAAAAACAATGTTTTTCCCCATAACATTTAAATCACAGTGCAGCTGGCTCGCTTGCTCTTTCTCTTCGCCAATGATGCGAGTGTGTGTTCAGTCTTCAGTCTGTTGCGTGTAGAATATCCTAGCCTATTCTTTGATGATAGGCCCTGCTTTAAAGTTTACTGTGACTTATCAAGACATTTAGTAGAAAGAAAATACATCTACGGCTAGGAATTGACTCCTAAGATTCAGTATTTTTGGAACAGAGGAGACTGATTAGTTTCCGTACCTTCGAAAACACAAACACTTGCATCTTTCATAGCGAGCTAGCGGGGGAAGGAGAGAGAGGGGAGGGGCACAGACGGAGTCAGAACCGTGCACTAGGCCTATCGATCTGCAATCAAAAGCAATTTCTTGGCTCGCAATTTCTTGCAACTTCAGTTGTGGTAGTTGCCGTAGTGTACCCTTACAGTCAAACAAGCATGTTGTAGCCGAGGCGCTTTCAAGGGTATATGACTGCAGTAGATACAACTACATTGCCCAGCCGTAGTGGTCATATATACGTAATAGTTCCATTATTCTGCATTGTGAATTGATGTGATTTTTTTCTGATCGTTTTTACATTTACATTTTTGTCATTTAGCAGACGCTCTTATCCAGAGCGACTTACGGAAAACTGATGTTTTAAACCAATGTTTAAACATTAAGCAAAACTGTCAATTTGTCGCATCCCTAATTGCATCATACTTTGGCAGTCAAATTCTGATCCTAAATGTTTTACAATTCTTCAACTGTAAATATGGGTGTGTTTGTAAATACATTTTACAGAGTCTGATGACATGGTCTTTATTGAAGAGTTACCACAATAACTACCACACTACCTCCACCCTGAAGTGAGTCATTATGAAACTTAATTTTAAGTGTTAATTCTGTCACTTCTATTACCACCCTTAAACATTCCTGTACCAAATGTGTGTGCTTTATAAACACACCTGAAAAGAACAGTTTGAGCAGGAAATGCCCTTTCCTAGCAGGTGCATGCTAGAGAGCTGGAGCTCAATGACTCAGCAGAGAACAATCCACCGAAATTCTGTTGAAACAATACGGACGCTGGTTGGCAAGGACACATCTCCTCAATGAGTCATTCCCCCATTGTTTTAGCATTGTTAGTGCTTCCTATTTCAGTTTATATAGCCTGTAGCTCCTAAAGCACCCGCTCAGACAATGGCATTGAGTTCCTCTACAGTTACAGTTACCACTAACAGTCAAGCAACAGGATAGGTCTCCTCACCAGCCAGACTTGACAGTCAGGTTTGACAGGTGGATAGGTCCACCACATGTTCCCAAGCTGTTTACTTCCGAGTTGAAACGTTCCGTGGCTCCTCCTGGCGCTCCGGACGGAAGCAGATGGATTTCTGGAGTGCCGTCATCCTGAACGGTGAGAGAGACACAACAACATTCCCTTAATATGTGGACACATTCCACTACACACAGCTCTATCAATCCTTCTCTATCAGGCCCCACTTTAATGCCTAAGGCTGAGAAAGGGGAAGATAGAGGAGAACATTGAGAGAAAAGGGGGGAGCAGATAGAGGCTAATAGAGAGAGTGACAAAGTCAGAGAAAAGAGGAGAGAATGAGAGAGAGAGGGATAGACAGAGAGACCCTGGCCCTCTGCCAAAGCTTCTCAGTGTCCTTCCAGCTGTGTGTTTTTCTGCATCCTCCCCCCTGTTGTCTCCTTAGAGACTACAGCTTGGCTACACTGTTCACTTTACAACTGGTCTCTTTTCTATTTGTAACAGGGACAGGTGAGTGGAAATCTACAGAGAATCGTATTCAAGCCAGGCCATTTAGATGGAGAGGATTTATTAAAACAATGAATGACCTGATTTTTAAAATTTTATTTCACCTTTATTTAACCAGGTAAACCAGTTGAGAACAAGTTCTCATTTACAACTGCGACCTGGCCAAGATAAAGCAAAGCAGTGCGATCAAAAACAACAACACAGAGTTACATAAGGGGTAAAAAAACATAAAGTCAAAAATACAACAGAAAATATATATAGAGTGTGTGCAAATGTAGCAAGTTATGGAGGTAAGGTAATAAATAGGCCATAGTGCAAAATAATTACAATTTAGTATTAACACTGGAATGATAGATGTGCAGAAGATGATGTGCAAATAGAAATACTGGGGTACAAATGAGCAAAATAAATTACAATATGGGGATGAGGTAGTTGGATGGGCTAATTTCAGATGGGCTGTGTACAGGTGCAGTGATTGGTAAGGTGCTCTGACAACTGATGCTTAAAGTTAGTGAGGGAGATAAGAGTCTCCAGCTTCAGAGATTTTTGCAGTTCGTTCCAGTCATTGGCAGCAGAGAACTGGAAGGAATGGCGGCCAAAGGAGGTGTTGGCTTTGGGGATGACCAGTGAGATATACCTGCTGGAGCGCATACTACGGGTGGGTGTTGCTATGGTGACCAATGAGCTAAGATAAGGCAGGGATTTGCCTAGCAGTGATTTATAGATGACCTGGAGCCAGTGGGTTTGGCGACGAATATGTAGTGAGGACCAGCCAACAAGAGCGTACAGGTCACAGTAGTGGGTAGTATATGTGGCTTTGGTGACAAAACGGATGGCACTGTGATAGACTACATCCAATTTGCTGAGTAGAGTGTTGGAGGCTATTTTGTAAACGACATCGCCGAAGTCAAGGATCGGTAGGATAGTCAGTTTAACGAGGGCATGTTTGGCAGCATGAGTGAAGGAGGCTTTGTTTGCGAAATAGGAAGCCGATTCTAGATTGAACTTTGGATTGGAGATGCTTAATGTGAGTCTGGAAGGATAGTTTACAGTCTAACCAGACACCTAGGTATTTGTAGTTGTCCACATACTCTAGGTCAGACCCGCCGAGAGTAGTGATTCTAGTCGGGTGGGCGGGTGCCAGCAGCATTCGATTGAAGAGCATGCATTTAGTTTTACTAGTGTTTAAGAGCAGTTGGAGGCTACGGAAGGAGTGTTGTATGGCATTGAAGCTCGTTTGGAGGTTTGTTAACACAGTGTCCAATGAAGGGCCAGATGTATACAAAATGGTGTCGTCTGCGTAGAGGTGGATCTGAGAGTCACCAGCAGCAAGAGCGACATCATTGATATACACAGAGAAAAGAGTCGGCCCGAGAATTGAACCCTGTTGCACCACCATAGAGACTGCCATAGGTCCAGACAACAGGCCCTCCGATTTGACACATTGAACTCCATCTGAGAAGTAGTTGGGTGAACCAAGCGAGGCAGTCATTTGAGAAACCAAGGCTATTTAGTCTGCCAATTAGAATGCGGTGGTTGACAGAGTCGAAAGCCTTGGCCAGGTCGATGAAGACGGCTGCACAGTACTGTCTATTATCGATTGCGGTTATAATATCATTTAGGACCCTGAGCGTGGCTGAGGTGCACCCATGACCAGCTCGGAAACCTATAGAGTGCGACCTGAGGCAAATTGGTAGGTCTAAATAATTGAACCATTGTCTCCCAATAGAAATGTTGGAGGGAAATCACTAATGGCGCATGGCACTGTAATGTCATGGTAATAAATATGCCCACCTTCACTAGTCTTCTGATGGAGCCGATGGTGATTGCGGTGGGCTTGTCCTCTGTCCCCTGGCTGGCCTGCTGCTGACCTGGTTGGTGGCTCAGTACTGTCTCCCCTTCCTCCAGCAGCAGCCCGGGGCCCCGGAACCCCGGCTCCAGGTACAACAGCCAGCTACGACACAAACACACTGTGTGAGCACCCACTTCCATCTCTCTGTCCCTCTCACACACAGACTCTCTCGCTCTCCCTCTCTCTCTTTTTTTCTCTCTCACCCACTCAGCACAAAAAGAGATGCCAGCCACCAACTAACTGACTGCACAGAGCTCACACATAAACAGAGCAAGGGCATTGCCATGGAAACCAGGCCCCACCTTCCCTATTCCTTGGTGACAGAACATAAATAAATAATAATGTATAAAATAAAATCATCCCCTACCAGTACACACACCCAACACATGAACTATAACAGTTGATGATTAAAGTTACATGTTGAAGAGAAGATTACAGCGCTGTGCTGACAGTAATGTAAATCAATCTGGCTCTCACCAATGTTTTTTTTTGTTGAAATATTAAAAGCTGCTTACTAATGCCCCTGAACTACAGGCCCACAGCACACAGTTGGGGGCTTCAATACTTCAATATCCCTGCTGAGACCTGGCCAGAATACTGCCTTTTATCTGAGGATAAACATGCCAACAGTCAACAAATATTGTAGATTCTGAAAATAACACGGGCGGTGTGATATGTGCAGTGTAAACAACACTATCGTGTGTGTGTGTGTGTGTGTGTGTGTGTGTGTGTGTATTTGTGTCGCCAGTAGCCCATAAATAATCTATCTGGATGGTCAGGAACTGCTTTGAAGCGGTAAGAGTCTGTCTATATTGACTCAGACAGACAGCCAGGTCTCTCCTAAATGGTTTAGTGCCTGGTTTCACTGATTATACATCCACCATGAGAGACAGAGATCAATATCGCCTAATAGTATAGGCTGCTGGGGATGAGGCCCAAGGAGGGAGGAAACATCTCCCGAGAAAGTCAAATCCCTCATAATTAGCATGTAGGAGAGTCTTTTTGTGGCTCACGCCTTCACTGATTAACTTGAACTGAATACAAAAAACGTTGAATGACCAACACTCTGGTTGTCCAGAAGTGCCTAGGAATTTGTTGAGTAATGTAGTCTGTCAAAAACCTGTCAAACTTAAATAAGTCAACCTGTAAAGTAGCCCTTGTACTGCAAATCAAAACTAGTTTGGGGAACAACTCTAAGTGGTCCTTCACTGTGGACCGTAGAGGGAACAATACGACCCAAGTCGGTCTGTTAACCTGAGAATTGGATGGAGGAGAACACACACAAACACAACAATGCAGCTACAACGTGACTCACTTCCTTTCTCTCCTCCCCTCTGGTGGACAGGGGAGAGAGCTCCTACTCAAATTGTTGGAAAGCTGCTTTGCTTTTCCCACTTTTTGCTTGGGAAGGCTGGTTTGGTGTAAATAATACAACAGGTCTAGGGCTCTGAAAGGGGGGCTGAGCCAACGCACTAGTACACAAATGGAAGGTGGGTCAATCCATAAAGCATGAGATATTGCGTAAGGCACCAAACTTTCACTAGCGTTGCCGCGCAGAGTCGAGCGAGCCTGCCCTTGAGTGAGTCATTTGACAAAAAGCACACAGCGCCAGAACATGTTCGCAAGACTGAACATTTCTCATTCTGTATCCATTAAATATGAGAGCAGTGTTACAACATAGCCACACAGCTACCAGGCTCTTCTGTACGTGAACCTGCTTTGCCCCTGGCAGAGAGGCACAGAGACATACTGTCATGTGCATTAGTTAAACCTAGTGCAGCATTATATGAGATTAATATGAACAACTAAACTTATGACTAGTATATATTCATACTTTTTAGCTTTTTCATCATTAAATATAAATAAAAGCAACATATTTTTCGAACTGCAGTAGTAAGATGATATGAAGCTGATAGTACATTGATATATGAGAGATTCTTTAGAAATAGTATAGATTTCAATCTATCTATAGTTAGGCCCTCCAAACATTTAAGTATCTGTAATGCCCACTACTCGTTCTCATGGTGCTAATGAAAGAACCTTAACAATGTGGTCAAATGCAGCTGTAAGTGTAAGATCTCTTGCTATGACGAGTTCAATCAAAAGGGTCACTCAGATGGGAGCTGTGTGATAGGGTGGGGTTTATTTGGGGTTTATTTTCTAATTCATCTTGTTTTTTGTTTTACTAGTGTAGCATCAATTGTTGCTTCATAGGTCTGTGCATGTACTATATACAGCGGGGAGAACAAGTATTTGATACACTGCCGATTTTGCAGGTTTTCCTACTTACAAAGCATGTAGAGGTCTGTAATTTTTATCATAGGTACACTTCAACTGTGAGAGACGGAATCTAAAACAAAAATCCAGAAAATCACATTGTATGATTTTTAAGTAATTAATTTGCATTCTATTGCATGATATAAGTATTTGATCACCTACCAACCAGTAAGAATTCTGGCTCTCACAGACCTGTTAGTTTTTCTTTGAGAAGCCCTCCTGTTCTCCACTCATTACCTGTATTAACTGCACCTGTTTGAACTCGTTACCTATATAAAAGACACCTGTCCACACACTCAATCAAACAGACTCCAACCTCTCCACAATGGCCAAGACCAGAGAGCTGTGTAAGGACATCAGGGATAAAATTGTAGACCTGCACAAGGCTGGGATGGGCTACAGGACAATAGGCAAGCAGCTTGGTGAGAAGGCAATAACTGTTGGCGCAATTATTAGAAAATGGAAGAAGTTCAAGATGACGGTCAATCACCCTCGGTCTGGGGCTCCATGCAAGATCTCACCTCGTGGGGCATCAATGATCATGAGGAAGGTGAGGGATCAGCCCAGAACTACACGGCAGGACCTGGTCAATGACCTGAAGAGAGCTGGGACCACAGTCTCAAAGAAAACCATTAGTAACACACTACGCCGTCATGGATTAAAATCCTGCAGCGCACGCAAGGTCCCCCTGCTCAAGCCAGCGCATGTCCAGGCCCGTCTGACGTTTGCCAATGACCATCTGGATGATCCAGAGGAGGAATGGGAGAAGGTCATGTGGTCCGATGAGACAAAAATAGAGGTTTTTGGTCTAAACTCCACTCGCCGTGTTTGGAGGAAGAAGAAGGATGAGTACAACCCCAAGAACACCATCCCAACCGTGAAGCATGGAGGTGGAAACATCATTCTTTGGGGATGCTTTTCTGTAAAGGGGACAGGACGACTGCACCGTATTGAGGGAAGGATGGATGGGGCCATGTATCGCGAGATCTTGGCCAACAACCTCCTTCCCTCAGTAAGAGCATTGAAGATGGGTTGTGGCTGGGTCTTCCAGCATGACAACGACCCGAAACACACGGCCAGGGCAACTAAGGAGTGGCTCCGTAAGAAGCATCTCAAGGTCCTGGAGCGGCCTAGCCAGTCTCCAGACCTGAACCCAATGGAAAATCTTTGGAGGGAGCTGAAAGTCCGTATTGCCCAGCGACAGCCCCGAAACCTAAAGGATCTGGAGAAGGTCTGTATGGAGGAGTGGGCCAAAATCCCTGCTGCAGTGTGTGCAAACCTGGTCAAGACCTACAGGAAACGTATGATCTCTGTAATTGCAAACAAAGGTTTCTGTACCAAATATTAAGTTCAGATTTTCTGATGTATCAAATACTTATGTCATGCAATAAAATGCAAATTAATTACTTAAAAATCATACAATGTGATTTTCTGGATTTTTGTAAAAATTACAGACCTCTACATGCTTTGTAAGTAGGAAAACTTGCAAAGTCGGCAGTGTATCAAATACTTGTTCTCCCCACTGTATGTACCTTATGTTATTGAAAAGCATGTAAAGATTATCATGTGATATGGACGTGCGCTGACAGTAGTATTTGTCATTTGTCCAATGCTGTTTATTCTGCTGATTGATTGAATACATAATAATACTTATTTTGAGAATTTAAAAAAAGTATCTGTAATGCTCATAACATCCCCATTCACTTTTTAAGTAGCAAATAGTGATGACGCCAAGGAGAAGAACTCAAGATCTCAAACTTGGACGAGGCCTTGATTCCCAGTGATGGCAGTGTTTGTGTGGTTTATTATGTAATCCTTATGATTAATAGTGCTACCTCACACTGTGAGTGGGGCAGAGAGCAGCTTGTGGCATTATGATGGAAAATGTAACACATTAAGGTCTGGCGAGGGCAGATTCATCAGCAGACAGGCCTTTTTAATGGGAGCGAACAGCGATGAGTTACCCAATTACTGTCTGTCACAGCCAGCCCAGGAGATTAACCCCCCCCCCCAACACAGTTGGAAGGAACATTATGGAGTCTCAAACAAGATGTTCTGTTCTGACATAAGCTAAAAGTCCTAAGCCTCATGTTCAGTAATAAGGCCCTTCTTCCGTGAGAGTGCATGAGTAAGGCAGGGAGTGGATGAGACAGGGGTATAAGGCCAAAGCAGAGGATGACGCTACAGAAAGGCTGGCTCATTCTGATCCAGGTGGGCTATTTTACAGGGGACTTAATACAAGTTTGACAGATTTTCAGCTACCTGCTTCAACAAACTCTAAGCCTTGGTCCGACAGAACTACTTCTGGAAGCCCAGACTGTTGGTCATTCAAAGACTGATCTATAACCTCATAAAGAGCATCCCTTCTGTTTAAGGAGTAAGCAACCTTAAAAGAAGTCCACTTGCTCTAAAGGTCCTCTTACCATCCTCCCAGGACTCGCACCGAGGCACCCTGCGGAAACACCATCCCAGAGTCCTCCTGGTCTCTGTGGATCTCCCGCATCTCCCCAGAGAACGTCACACCATCATAGATGCTCATCTGGAGAAACAGAGTACGTCATTAGGAAACATACAGCAACATGTAGGCTAAATATATGGTAAAATAGATACAATCTGACAGTCAACCTCCGCAAATGATCTTTAAACTGAATTTGATTTATTGACTCAATACATGGGAACCATACAATAATTCAATGTTTTTCAAAGTTAGATCATATTTGTGTGACAGCTGAACTGTGGTGGTTGGGTGTTGTTTTCATAATTATATTATTACAGCAAGCTTGGTGCGAGTGAACAGTCAGGTTTTAAAAGCCTGAGGAAAAGGGTTTCCAGCATGGAGCAGGGTGCTGAGCAATGTGCAGCTCCCCCGGGACTGCAATGCAGAAGAAATACCAGCCCGCGCAAAGAAGAACAAGATTGACCTTCACTCAATTTAGAGGCTTTCCTGTTAGTTAACACTATCAACGTTTCCCTCTACTTTGGGAATTGGGATTGAGGCAGCATGGCTTGAAGCGCTGGGCATCTTGTTATGACATGCATTATTTGAATTAGGCCTTCATAATTATACCTACGGAGGAGTGGATTTTATGAAGGAACTTTGAATGTCTTTCAACTTCAGAGAGATGGCTTAACGTTGGACCAGAGCTAGCTAGCTAGATAGCTAACAAGCTTGTATGTGCAGAGCGGCATCAGATTATTATTTTTAAATAATTAATTAATAAATCCAATGTGAAACGTGATAACTCTAGTATCCTTAAATAGCACTGAAAAAGTTAATCCATTCTTCTCTAATAAAAAATATTGCTCCCTAATTTCTGAATCACGCTTGTAATGTCAGTAGGCTACAGTAGACTATGCTTCAGAGGGGGAGGGGCAGGTAGCCTACACACGCACACACACTGGCAAAGATGTTCAGCTGGCAGGCAGACACTGGAAGAAGTTTCTGAGTGACAGAGTGAGGGCTTTGCATAGGTGCTTTGTTGCATTTTTTGTGGGACTGGAAAAAAATAACAGAAACATAAAATAACGTTATTAACCGGTTTCCATGCTTTTAAAATAACGGTTCTGTTCCCGAACAGTTCCCGGTTCTGATTCTGTTCCTCGAAAATGTTTGTTATTTTCTGGTTCTCGGTTCTGTTCCCTGAACCGGTTCCAACCCCTGGTTTGAATTACTACAGTATCTTTATTTTGTTTGTCTATATACTATGGTATTTACAGTATGCTAATAGCTGCATTCACACATGAAGCAGGAATGTGGCTTTGGACACATCACATCCAAGGTTAGTGTGAACAGAAAAGTTGCTAATCTGATGGTGAAAAGCGATAGATCTCACTAGACATATTTTACTAAAGTAAATCCACCCTTAGTATGCAAAACTAACTACGTAAAAGATTTTGCAGAGTGCATCGGAGTAGGATTCTATTGCATTGACAGGCACAAGTGGTCGCGAGTAGATGTGCTTGTTTTGAGATCAAAGCGAGAGCTGCATGTAGCTGCATTAGCCCAGTTATAGCTAATTTCTGGTCAGCAATGGGGGAGTGATTGCTTCCTACATGAGCACAAAACGTGTACACTTCTAGCCATCTTTGAAAAATGTGTCAAGTAAAGAACTTTATATTTTTTATTTATGTCTTTAAAAGGGGCAGTGTTGTATTTTGAGACAGCAGAGGGTAGCATACATTTTGTCTGAATCTCTGTTACATTAATAATGGTATGGGAATAATAATGAATTTTATTTTGTAATGTGGTTTCTTGCATCAAACACAATACAACAACATTTTCAGTCACCTCATTGTCTGAAGGACAAGTGGAAAAAAAGACTAATGGAATGTAGGCCTACATTGAACACCACACATTGGCTGCTACTGTAGGCTGAATAATATAACTGCTATTTCCATGTTAAAATGTTATGGGATGCATTTTCTCCATTGTCTTTTAATGGTAGCCCACTCTGGTAGGCTTAGATTATGATCAAATAGCCACAGTTGCCTACTTTGCCACTGTTAAAACTAGAACTTCAAGCGGGTACAGCCTCAGTGTTCACAGTAAACGGGCACCGGAAGTTGCACAGAATTTTCACAACGTCCAAGTTTGCGCTCAGCAGACCTGAAATTTGCTCAATACCCCAAGAAATATGAGGTAACATTGGTGCTGAGTGACTATGCCTGAGGCCCCCAACACATTTCTGATGACAGAAAGGGAGAGAGGAGGGGGGGCCAAGGAGGAGGGAAGGGTGTCGTTAATCCCCTAACCAGCCCACAAGATGCCCCAAGCAGTCATTATAGAGCACAGCCTCTTCTATAATTAACACCCTGTGTTTTTTCATTTTTTTTCACTCCTAACAGCCTACGAGACTCTGCCTGCTTTCATACTGCTTTAATTCCAAGTCTTGATAGTTTTGCTGCTTTGCTCCCTTTGTTTCCTCCTTGATAACAAATACTTTTTCAACGCGGCTAATAGAACAGAAAACCGTGGTTGTGCGGTTGCAAAGCAATTCCATTAGTGATTGTGTGAAACAACAATGCAGACAAAACCCCTGGCACTCAGTGCTTTGTTCACTGCCTGTGTTGTGAGCCTATAAGCTTCATAATCTATGTAAAACCGCATACAAGTTGTTTGTAGGAAAAACCCATTCCTGATTTGCTTGGTTTGGATAAAACAATTGACATATACAGTGCTAGACCACAGGAATATTAATGTGATTGTGCTCCAAGTTCCTGACTCACTGTTGCATTCAGCTCTCAAGGCTGTAGACTATCATTATAGTGCTTTAGAAGAGATCCACACTCCTCTGTACAGATTCTGAGAAACTACAGCCCTCGACAGCAGATGAGATAGCCTTTTACAACAATTAATAGGCTGTTGCATAATCGCAATCTCATCTCCATTTATGACAGGCCTTAGGAAGAGATTCAACTGAAAAGATGAGTTGCTGCCCTACTTTCTGCAGCCTGAGGTATCATTAACTAATGAAAGAGAAATGTTCTGTCCAGCTCAAAGGCAGTCTGGCATCTCCAATCTATTCAGCAGCACAGCAATTAGGAGGCAGACTGCCTAAAACATTAAGACAGTCATTAAGATGAGATCAGAAATTAGCACGACAGTGAGAAAGTAGAGGACTCATGTAATACATGTGATCTCACCAGCGTAGGCCTTGGGATGACCTTCCCATAACTCCAATTTCCCCCCTGAAATGATATCAACAGGGGTCAAATATTAACATATATTAGTTCTAAATGTCAGGCTGCATAACTAGCTTTTAATATAATATTATTGAATAAAAATGTCAGTTGCTGTTGAACTTACCATGTCAGTTGCTGTTGATGAACAGTTGTTATCACTGAGGCACGGAACGAGTTTGGCATGATGTTTACTGTTGTCATTGTCAGGCTCTGGCAACACTGGCTGCACTGATTTCAAATACTGATACATGGGTGAATCTGCAGGCTTTTGGATTGTAATCCGAGGGGTGGAAAGATTCTTCACGTCCTTCGTTGGATCCCCATCTCGAGGTCCCATAGTGAATAAATCAGTAGGAAGTGTCAGAGAGCTTGGGCCCTCCTGCTTGCTGCTTTGGTCTCCATCCATTCCCTGGCCATCCCCCTCCTCAGCCTCCGCCTGGCCCCTGTTGAAAAAGTCCCATAGGGGGCGCCGTAGAGGAGGGGTGGAGGGCTCCTCTGAGCCTGCGTCTGTGTCGGAGTAGCCGCTGGACTGCAGGCGCTCGCTGACTGACTGCAGCAGGGACAGGATGGACAAAGAGGAGGATGAGGCTACCTGCTCCATCCCCACACCTCCACTCAGACTCCTCAGCTCCTCTGTGGCTGGGGGCACCATGAGGCCCCTGTCCTCCTGCGACAGGCCCCCCTCCGCCACCTCCTCGCCACGAAGACTGTCCTCCTCCACGATGGGAGACAGGGAGAAAGGGTAGGCCTTGACCCGCCGCGCCGTGGGGCTCAGCATGGGGCCTGTGTCATTGACGAACACCGCATCCGTCTCCTCCTCCTCGTCGATGATGGAGAAACCACTCGTCTCCATGTCGTGGAAGGCAAGCTGGGGGACGGGGAGGAGGGGGAGGAGAGGTTCCAGGCCTGGGGCTCTCCGGCCTCCTGTAGTATGGAGCCCAGCTAGCCTGATGCCCAGGTCCTGGTGAAACCCTGCCACAGCTGCTGCTGATGAACCTGCACCACTGTGTCCCGGTGTCTCTGAGTCCTGACTCTGCTGCTGCTGAGAGACGTCGCATCGATACGCGCTCACCGAGCTCCACTGTGGCCTGTCCTCGTTACTGGAGTCAGGGGCTGAATTAGACACAAGGCCCTCTGAGGTGCTCAGGTCCTTGGGAAGTCTCCTTGAAAAAGAGGGGTCCACGCTGATGGTGCCTGTTGGTCTGCTGTCAGCCTCATCTTCTTCACCCCCAGAGTCAGAGCCCTCTGAGAACACAGAGGCTAAGTAAGTCTCAACCAGTACTAAGCTTTGATCCCCACTGACCGGGATGTCATTCAGCCCATTGGTCTCAGTCTGAGGAACTTTCAATGTTATTTCAGGACCGTTCTCTTGGCCTTCATCATAAAGAGTTATACAGGCAATAGGCTTCTGACTTATAGCATGTCTGACTTGAGATGGTTCTAGTGAGTTGTGGGTGTGTTTTGGTCTGACTGACATGAGGTCTGCCTCAGAATTGCCCTTAGCTTCATATTTGGAACTTTTCCTAAGCAGATCAGGCTCAGGAAATGCTGTTTGGTTTCTCAGGTAAGTATTGTCATTCAGAGTGCTGTTGAGCTTATTGGGACTTTCCGAGGTATTGGACACAGAAACATGACCATATTGAGCATTACAGTCTTGTTTAGGACTATGTCTATTGCTTTCGATATCATCTTTGGCTACGTGGACTGCGCCGTCTCCGACCTGTGTTCCTTTAACGCCTAGCACCTCGTTACAACCATTGTCCCCTAAAGTGCCGAGCACTTGATCTTTGTTTTCATTAGTTTTCCCTGAGACAGACTCATACTCATGACTCGCTCTCATTACTTGAATAATATCTCCGTCATCACCATAGAGACCTGGTTTCTCTAAGGACACTCCACCGCCCAAGAGAGGCAACACATCTCTCTGGTGCTTATCGCCACTGTATACAGATTCAATAGGATCATTTAGCTGGGAATCCTCTTCCCCTTGCGGCTGCTCATTAGCTTTAGCATCCATTAGCCGTTGACCTTTGACAAGTAGCTGGTGACCAGTGCCTTGGGTCCCCTCGGCACAGTGTTCTCCCTGCCTGTGGTCTGAGACACCGATGGTTGGGGCACTGCTCTCACAGGCCGGCCCAGGGCTGCTCCTGATGTCAGTGTCCGAGCCTGCGATAGACTCGTACCCCGAGGAGGGGGTGGACCTGGGGCCCTCCGCCAGAGGGTTGGGGTTTAATGAGAGAGTCTGTTCTGCCGGGATGGCTGATGGGTGTCTGTCATCCCCTGTCTCTGAAGGCCCTACCTCCTCCAGCTTATCTGGCTCGAAGGACCGATCCACACCCTCCTCCTCCTCCTCTCTGCCTACGGGTAGGACCAGGTAAGTCTCCTCACTGGCCTTCTGGATCACTTTACCCTCCTCCTCAGAGGATTCGATTTTCTCCAGGGCCGCTAGAGCATTAATCAGAATGTTATCCACCATCATTTTAGACTCCAAATGAAGGGCCTCCTCAAACAGATCGTCTGGAGGACCAACGTCCCCCTCCTCCTTCCCTGACTCAAAGCAGTGCAGTCCAGCACCAGGGCCTGAATTCAGTGCATCACCAGAATCTGAGTGCCTGGTTGCTGGCATGAGTCCCTGGCTTTCGGTCGCTGATAAAAGCAAGGCAGAAGGTGAAATGGGATGCGGAGCCAGCTGGCCTCCATCTCCATCGGAAACAGCGGCAGGCAGATGTGTGTGCTGTGCAGTCCCCCCGGCGCCTGGCCACGCAGCAGCAGCAGCAGCAGCAAATGAAGGTGACCCAGTCTGAAAACAGTGTGCAGATAAGGTTTCTGTCTGCTCACTCAGCCCTGTGTCTCTGTCCCCGTCTGTGTCCCTGTCAGTGTCCTCGCTGGCCATCTCCGTATGAGTAATTTTATCCCGTGGGCTCTGCTCTACACTGTGGGTCTCACTGACTGCTGTACTAGTCCCGGCATCAGCAGAGTCCTCTGTGGGTGCAGGAGGGGGGCCTGTGACGGATCCAACCCCAGAGAGAGAATCGTTGGCCTGGCCTCCTACAGTAGCCAGGTCTGTCTCTCCGAGTAAAGGGAAGGCACTTTGACTCCCAGCCCTTTCTGCTGTATGTGTTGTTAGTGGAATGTGACTAGACTCAGGTCCAGTTGGACCCAAAACAGCGGAGTCTGTTTCGGAAGTCCAAGCTCCTCGCTCATTGGTTTCTGAGGTTGGAGCTCCAATCTGATTGGTCGATACAGTCTGAATGTCCCTCTGCTTTGAAATGGCAAGTTCTAAAGTGGAGGGTGTCACCCCACCCAAGGGGCTGCCCTCCACACCTGAGGTGGGGCATTCTACCTGCAACTGGTGCCTCCGCCTCATCCTGCGTTTGTCCCCCTGGCCACGGTATGTCCCGTACGTCACCACAGGCGGACAGGCCAGGGCCAGACGCCGCTGATGCTCGTCCACCGCCGCCTCAACTTCGCTCAACGGGCTGCTGTCTGCCGCTGCTTCGCCCTCTCGGCATCCTCCCCTGTGGCCTTTCGCCTGCGTCTCCTCCAAGGCTCTGATCCTAATACACAGAGAGACAAGGTGAATAAGAATACAGCCAAGGACACACATATTCCCTCAGTGCTTCTTTGGGTGAGGAGAGGGGGGTTAGGTGATTCATACACATATAAGCAGTGTTGTGTAAAAAGCAGCCACTCATACAGCAGTTCAAGAACTTCCTCATCAAATATTCATCCACAGCTACTGGACAAAGACGCCCCAGGGCAATGCATAGATCTACCAGCTTTGACACCCCACAACCAGCACCCTTTCCTTTCCCCTCACCTCCCCCCATCTTAATCCTTCAAAGGGCTTGATGAGAAATCAAACAGTACAATGCTTCAAAAAAGATAATGGTGTTCAGGAGGAAAATTACTTTTTCAAGGCTGTTACCTTCCAAACACAATGGTGCACAGTGTTTTCAATTAGCCTCCTGCCTGGAAACACACATCAAATAATTACAGCCATTACAATGACCTCCTGCACCCTCTGTTAGTACAAAGCAGCTCACAGCAACTTTCCTTCATCCTCACCCCAACCCACCCACCTTGTGTTCAACTGACACACCAACGTTGGCGATTGACTTTGGTTTGTTTATTGATTGTAGCCTGTGTATGTGTGAGAGAAACAAACTACAGGGGTGATAAATGCAGGTACCTCAACAGAGTAAATTAGTAATGAAGAGTGCTGATGCCAGTGGTTCTGTTAATAAAAATGTATCTAAGATTAACTCTGTAATCAATGTCATTCATCTAAATAAAGCTGGTAGCATTTTAAGGTTGAAAAGAGCACAAAACAGCAGGCGGGTATTCAGTTTAAGAATTCACCTTATTGGATGAGTCAGTCGGAGTCGTGAGGTGATGGTATAAGGGGGTTATTTTGGTTGATTTGCCCATGTTTTCATGACCTTACCCCGCAACTAAAAAATAGGTTTATACCCCAAAAGACATCTTGTCATCTTGTCACAATAAAACACTTCAGTGGGTCCTTGCACATAATGAAAATAAGAAACCCCATTGCAGCCAGTTCGAATACAAGTAGCGTTATTTATAGATAGATATTTCCTTGTAGCTCTATTCATCACCATCAGTTATTCTTAAAAATATACACTGCTCAAAAAAATAAAGGGAACACTTAAACAACACAATGTAACTCCAAGTCAATCACACTTCTGTGAAATCAAACTGTCCACTTAGGAAGCAACACTGATTGACAATACATTTCACATGCTGTTGTGCAAATGGAATAGACAACAGGTGGAAATTATAGACAATTAGCAAGACACCCCCAATAATGGACTGGTTTTGCAGTTGGTGACCACAAACCACTTCTCAGTTCCTATGCTTCCTGGCTGATGTTTTGGTCACTTTTGAATGCTGGCGGTGCTTTCACTCTAGTGATAGCATGAGACGGAGTCTACAACCCACACAAGTGGCTCAGGTAGTGCAGCTCATCCAGGATGGCACATCAATGCGAGCTGTGGGAAGAAGGTTTGCTGTGTCTGTCAGCGTAGTGTCCAGAGCATGGAGGCGCTACCAGGAGACAGGCCAGTACATCAGGAGACGTGGAGGAGGCCGTAGGAGGGCAACAACCCAGCAGCAGGACTGCTACCTCCGCCTTTGTGCAAGGAGGAGCAGGAGGAGCACTGCCAGAGCCCTGCAAAATGACCTCCAGCAGGCCACAAATGTGCATGTGTCTGCTCAAACGGTCAGAAACAGACTCCATGATGGTGGTATGAGGGCCCGACGTCCACAGGTGGGGGTTGTGCTTACAGCCCAACACCGTGCAGGACGTTTGGCATTTGCCAGAGAACACCAAGATTGGCAAATTCGCCACTGGCGCCCTGTGCTCTTCACAGATGAAAGCAGGTTCACACTGAGTACATGTGACAGACGTGACAGAGTCTGGAGACGCCGTGGAGAACGTTCTGCTGCCTGCAACATCCTCCAGCATGACCGGTTTGGTGGTGGGTCAGTCATGGTGTGGGGTGGCATTTCTTTGGGGGGCCGCACAGCCCTCCATGTGCTCGCCAGAGGTAGCCTGACTGCCATTAGGTACCGAGATGAGATCCTCAGACCCCTTGTGAGACCATATGCTGGTGCGGTTGGCCCTGGGTTCCTCCTAATGCAAGACAATGCTAGACCTCATGTGGCTGGAGTGTGTCAGCAGTTCCTGCAAGAGGAAGGCATTGATGCTATGGACTGGCCCGCCCGTTCCCCAGACCTGAATCCAATTGAGCACATCTGGGACATCATGTCTCGCTCCATCCACCAACGCCACGTTGCACCACAGACTGTCCAGGAGTTGGCGGATGCTTTATGACTAATGACTAATTATTTAGTCCAGGTCTGGGAGGAGATCCCTCAGGAGACCATCCGCCACCTCATCAGGAGCATGCCCAGGCGTTGTAGGGAGGTCATACAGGCACGTGGAGGCCACACACACTACTGAGCCTCATTTTGACTTGTTTTAAGGACATTACATCAAAGTTGGATCAGCCTGTAGTGTGGTTTTCCACTTTAATTTTGAGGGTGACTCCAAATCCAGACCTCCATGGGTTGATACATTTGATTTCCATTGATAATTTTTGTGTGATTTTGTTGTCAGCACATTCAACTATGTAAAGAAAAAAGTATATCAGTGTATATCTCCAGCTTGACTGCTCAAAAAAGCCTTTGGTATAACAACGACAATGTCTAATTGGATTCTCCAAGAGGACTATAAATACAGTACATTGACAAGGAGCTGATTGTTAGTCTGTAGCGTTGTCTTGATGGCTTTCAGTTTTCAGACTCCAAGGCCCCAGGGACATCAGTGCGTCGTAACAGCTCCTCACAGGACACCATATACCAACTGTGGCTTTGACGCATCACAAAAAGGGGCCCAGGTAGATGACTTTTATAGATGGTTGGTTGAGCCACAAAATATGAGTCACTGTGTGTATGATGAGGTGTGTGCCACAGGAGGAGAGGAGACTTTGGGCCAAAAACATGACACTGACTTGTGACCTACAGTATATATTATATTTCACCTACAGTTCTACCATGTACGTTTACTTTTCCTTTTGGAAAGTTACAGGTCTCAAACTTGTTAAAGGGTGTGAACCACTCATGCCACTTGAGTGTAACAGCATGTTATCCAATGACTGTGCGACTCTTGTCTCTCTCTGCACCTTAGCATATTGAAATAGATCTGTGGTCAATACAGTGCAAAGGGATGTCAAAGCACTAATCAGTGTCGAGAAGGGAAGCCAGGCTGGCTCATTCCTGCAACTTAGCCATGCTCCCACTTCCTGCTCACCAGCCAAATGGCTGAAACCATTCCAACCAGTGATGCTCTTCCAGCCCTGCCAGCATCTCGGACACACAGGGACGAATCATTACCAACATTTCCCCTCTACATGCTGTGCTGTGTGAAAGAGTGTGAGGACCTCTGTGTGTGTGTGTGTGTGTGTGTGTGTGTGTGTGTGTGTGTATGTGTGTGTGTGAGTGAGAGAGAGAGAGCACGTAGGCACGCTCTAGTGTCAAATGATCTAGATTCCTGTCAGTGTTTCCATGCGTCGTCTCCCCACCCTGACTTAGCACCAGTAACTGACTGGCTTCCAGGAGGGCTTAGCTAGAGCGAGAGCCAGATGCCTCCCTCCTCCACCACACACACACACCCGCACGAATGCACACGCACACACACACACACACACCATAACCAGTCTCCACCCTAGCCTACACTGGACAATTATCCTGCTCCCTCTGTCTTCCTATACACACACCCAGCCTACATATTACCACGGCTCAATGACAGACCCGGCAGAACCACAAGAAACCACTGTCAAAGAATGTAGCCCTGTAAGATTTGTGCTCTAAAATAAGTTACTAGTAAATCTCCTATGGTAAGGCTTTCAAAGGCATGCTCAACCTTCAGAAGTCAATTGCTCTTGTGTTTTTAGTCTTGAGGTAACAAAACATTTACAGTGCCTTCAGAAAGTATTCATACCCCTTTACTTATTCCACATTTTGTTGTGTTACAGCCTGAATTTAAAATGAATTAATCTTCTCTGATTGATTGAGAGATTTAAGGGGCTATCATCGTTAAGTAACATAATTAAGGCTGTCCCCCGACTAAAAAACATATTGGTCAACAAAGAGTCTTCCTTTCCTTCGACCAATCGATTGGTTGAAATTTAAAAATGTGTATTTTTTCATATATAGATACATCCTATTTGTTTTAATCAAATCAACTATATGCACTGAGCTTGTCTGATGCTGTAAGCGAACTGTTTGATTAAATAATTAAGACACAAATGACTAGAGGGAGTCTGACCGCAATTGATTTGATTGTGCCGGGCCTGGCTCAGACTTGTGTTTTTTTAAAAAGACAGCGAGTGACTAGCACCCATTGTTTCTCTTTCCTTCTTGCTGCAGCGAACACCACGGAACATCAACAGTGTCCGTGTTGCTGAAGCTGCAACATAAAAACAGCCATTTCTGACTGAAAAGTTGTTACCAAAAAACATTCCCTATTCTCTCAACCCTTGCTCTCTGTATGCATCGCATGCACGTGACCAATAGGGCCTGACCTATGACATATCATAATCACATCAATAAACTGGTTATAAACAAACTCTGAACACAGTAACACATGTGACAGCAAAATGGATGCAGAGGACGTGACAAATAAACTCGAAACGGGGGAATGTTTACTGGTTGCTCAGGAGGTAAAGAGGAAGTCAGATGTGTGGAATAAATTTGACTAGTTGTAGAAAATACTGGAGATCAAGAAAAAGGTAAGGAACAAGCGCTGCGTGCATATTATGTGTGCCAAATAGGTGCTGTTAGATTTCAATAGGCTATACTTTTTCTGACCGTTTGGAACAATGTAAACACTAAATCAATTATAAGCGTGCCAGAGAGTCTGTTGTAACGTTTCTTTGTTTTTTGTAAAGCCTTTATTACAGCAAAGACTAAAAACAGTCATATTGATTCGTAAATGCATTTTCCGAAATGGAGCGGTTTAGGCCTATTATTGTTTACGCTAATTAGGCCTATTCAATAGTCGCTTTGTTATTTTATTTTCAA